ATCTTTTTCAAGTTTTCAGCAAAAACATCTTTAATTGTCATTTGTGGTGAAAATAAGTGTATGTTTGAAAAACACTCTCAAATTAACATGCTATGTTTTCAATATTTTGGAAATGAAGGGAGGTGTTAAAAGAAAGTATTGACATTATCCCACATGGCAGCTGCACGTCTCTCTCTCTTTCTATCTCTCTCATATATGTGTGTGTGTGTGTGTGTGTGTGTGTGTAATCACCCTACTTAGGTGTAACATACATCGGATATTCCACTTTTTAGCAGCCATATATTTTTTTCCCCTTTGGAGGCAATTTTGTTCTAACGTGTTAAATTTCCTGAAATTGATTTTTTATTTTTTTATTTGTGAATTGGATGGGGTAGAGTTAAAACTAAGAACAAGATGATCCTTCTTCCCAATATGGAAAGCAGAGTTCCTCTTCATCCAAATTTTCCAAATAGAAAATGCAAAGATAGCTCTAAGAACCTTGGACTTTACTTGGTCTGGACTGAAGCAGAAACCATTCAACTAACTGTTGCATAGAGGAAAGGGGGGCTTGGGCAACTGCAACACATAAAAAATGTGGCTCCACATAGCATCAGCAAAAGCACAATTGTGACTCACTGCAGCTAAGAAAATGCCCCTCTTTTTAAGCTTCCCAAATATTTTTGATAGAAAAGGCACCAGAGTCCCACACAATCTGATCAGCCTCTGTATTCAGTTGCTTTCCTCTGATGTAGTCAGCATCTTGGGTTGGGAAAGTATCAGGAACAAGCCATTGCCTATTTTACAATTGAGTCCACTTTAGAAGGCCTGTCCACTCTTTTAAAATTAAAAGCCCCAAACTTTTGAACTAAAGAAATACCTTCACATCAAGGATCAAAAAGGAGATTGATTGGTTTTGAGACAATGCTAAATCTAATTTAACCCTAGCTACATGCACTAGCAAAAATTGCCCAGCTATCTCAGGGAGTTGTTTGGGTCAATTGGTTGTTGGGGGCTTACAAAGCTGAGGTTGCCTTCCTATGTGAATCCCTATGTTGCATTGACTCTTCAAAGGTATGTGAAGCACCCGTGTCGGGCACACAATACTTGGACATGTGTACGGGATATGTGTCTGACACTTTTGGTCGCCTAAAAACATATTCAGTGATTCAATCCTATTATATCATTGCTGCAAAACAAGTGGAATGGCTATGTTAAACACTATGTTACCTAAAGACGTGATTTTACTCTAGAAATAAATAAAAACATTAAATAATATGAATATTTAGAAGTGTCCGTGTGTCCTTTGTCCTCGAACTTGACATGTCCGAGGCGTGGATACATACCCGCACCTGACAAACATGCCCGAGTCCATGAATCATAGGTGAATCTTACTTTGATGCAAGGAGGTTTGGGTTTTCACATGTACATATAGTTGCGTCAAATAGTTGGTATTAGATTTTGTAGTTATATGCATGTATATATTAGACATATTTGTAGTGTTACTTACTAGTGCTAGATCAATTATTGTGCTTTATTTGCGTTTGTCAAATTCCAAAATAAATATCAGTTTTGGACCAATAAAATAGCATTTGGGTGTTTTCCTGGTGGGAAGAACTTTAATGTATTATGTACCCACGGTAGAACATTCTTGCGGTTAGATATTTATATGTCCTCAACTGTATACTTCCATACTAAATTGGCAAATTTGTGGAGGCAATTTATTTATAGTTACCTTAGCTCTACTAGGTGCTTACCTTATATTGGTAGTTTACTAAAGTTACATTTCTAATATAATCAGCAAGTAAGATAAGCAATGAAACCTTATCCCAATTGTCTTTTGTTAATTCAATCAAAGTGAAGAGAAAAAGATATGGGCTTAATGTCGATTCTTCATGTAAGGCTACAGTCATTTGAAATTCACTTGTTTGTTCCCCATTTGTCACCATATATCCTTTAGCATGTGAATATATTGTATGTAAACAACTTTCATTGGTGGCTCTCCAATATAAATCCAAATTGATAAACTAATATTAGTCTTACATACTCAATATCTGCGGCGACCTTGTGAGCGGGTGTGTGTAAGCATGTGCAGGTGGCACCAGTTGGCTACCACATTGGACGAGCTACAGGTACACAATCCCACGTTGCCTGGGTGTGGAAAGATAAGTGTTATATATAGATTCAACACCCTTCTATGAAACAACGCGTTTTAAAGCCGTCATATCCGTGAACCCACCAGAACTCCAAAGTTAAGCGTACTTAACCTAGAGTAGTACCAGGATGGGTGACCCCCTGGGAAGTCTCTTGTCTGGGCTCCTGACCATCCGGAAGTGTGGCCAGCGGGGATTTTGGGCCCCAAGGGGGGGGGGGGGGGGGTGATTGTGGCAACCTTATGGGCTAGTGTGTGTGAGCGTGTGCAGCTGGCAGCAGTAGGCTACCACACTGGGCGAGCTTCATGTGCACAATCTCACATCACTTGGGTGTGGGAAGAGGAAGTACTATATGAAGATTCAACACCCTTCTATGATGCAACGCGTTTTAAAACTATGATGGCCATGAACCTACCAGAACTCCGGAGTTAAACGTGTTTAACCTAGAGTAGTACTAGGATGGGTGACCCCCTGGGAAGTCTCTGGTCCGAGGGAGCCAAAAGCGGACAATATTATATTTGGATAGGGTGAGGGTCGTTAGTAATGGTATCAGAGCCTGACCCAACCGGAAGTGTGGCCAATGTGGACGTTGGGCTCCAGAGAGGAGGGGGGGGGGGGGGGGGTGATTGTGGCGACCTTGTGGGCGAGTGTGTGTGAGCATGTGCAAGTGGCACCAGTAGGCTACCACACTGGGCGAGTTACAGGTGCACAATCCCACATCGCCTGAGAGTGGGAAGGGGAAATACTATATGTAGATTCAACACCCTTTTATGACACAACGCGTTTTAAAGTTGTGATGGTCATGAACCTACCAGAACTCCGGAGTAAAGCGTGCTTAACCTGGAGTAGTACCGGATGAGCGACTCCCTGGGAAGTCTCTGGTCCGAGGGAGCCAAAAGCGAACAATATTGTGTCTGGATAGGGTGACGGTCGTTTCTATATCTTTGCCAAAAGTTTTGTAATACGACATATTTATTTGGTACTGTAATAATTTACGCATTTTTTAACATTCCTTTTTATATATAGGTAGTAAAATTCTTTTACGCCACTCACCAAGGATTTTTGAATTGTCATTATCATGGCACGCCGACATCATCCAGACACTTCCAAGGCTCAATAGGAATGTCATCTTTCACATTACTTGATGCATTTTTTACCTTGCGCACCCCGGTTCAACAAAACTATTTGGTTTCTCTAATTTCACTAAGGTCACTATATTCTTCTAAACCCAAGATCCTATATGATTTTCTTTTAACAACTTCTCGAAGTAACTTTTCCGTATTTCTCTAGTTTCATCATAGGTCACTAAGATTTTAATAAAGATTTTCCCCTCTTAACAAATGTGTATATGTTTTTCTCATTGTCCTTTATAGGTAAGTTAGAATAATATCATCATATGCTCTATTTTTTAGATCCTTTAACTATTTTTTTAACTTCTTTTCTTTTAGCATAATCAACTCAAGCAAGCCTCTTTCTAGCTATTGGGGGTTTGGCTATGTGAATCCTATTCCGCCATTCACTCTATAGCTAGTTAGATTATATGCTATTATATCTTTTCTAGTTATCTTAACTCATATTAGTTTTGGTATTCCATTCCCATAACATAATATTAAAAAGGATCACGTCACTTTTCCTAGTAGTTGCAGTTATTTACAGTCAGTTGACATGCCAAACTATCTTATCGGTTGCCTCTCATTTTTAGGTGCAATTTTAACCATCTCACAAATCCCTTTGCTGCTAATTTTATCCTCTCTTTTTTTTTGCCATGCATCCATCTCAACATTCTCATTTCTTCAATACTCATTTTATGAGTTCATAAGTTTCATGTTTTTATTATCTTGCTAGCTGTCAAGATACCTAACAGAGCTCTTCTCCCCAGTGGCGGATACAAAAATATTTATTTGTGGAGTTTGAGTGAATAGTATGAAAATAAAATTTAAAAAAATTATTTTTTTACTATATAATTTCTAGAAAGTAGATCTAAGAAGATATTATGAAATTAGAAGTATTTCATATATCATTATATGCATAAATGAGAAGAATAATAGGGATTGGGGTTGTGTTTGGATTCTGAGCTTTCCTTCAGAAGGTGGACTTCCAAAAATAAGTCCTAAAATGACTCAAATTGTTGTTCCTTCTAAATTTTTAGGGGGCCACATGTTAAATCTTTTTAGTACTTTTAAACTTAATATTTATGGGGACCTTTTTTTTTTTTTTTTTTTTTTTTTTTTTGTGCAATTTTGGATGGGCTAGACTCGATGTAGTTCCATCCTTGATCCTACTATCTCTGAGGCTGGTAGGAGCTGTATAAAGATAAGGCACTAAACATGACGCAGGCGGAATTGTTTCTTTTAGCCTCTTATCCTTAAAAATTCTATTTCTCCCCTTTCAAATTCCATGGTTCATAATCCTCGTCTCATTACTTGATTGTCTTTTAGTATACCCATCTAAGACTATAAACTGTATTGCAATGTTAAATAATCTCCTAGAAAAACTTTACAGTTGTGTATCTTCTCTTTCAGTTAATGAGAACACCCTAGCTTTACTATAATATTATTAGGATTTATGTTCATATGGCCTTGATGGAAGTTCTTTTTGTCACGCTTGCTATCAGTTATCTAACACAAGTACGCAACACTCCTCATTTTTCTGGGCTTGGGACCGACTGCATAAAAGTAAAAAACTACTTACGACAATTTGGTCTTGTTAGAAAATTTTGCTGGAGAGTCAAAATTTCAATTCCTAAATACCGTTTATTACAAAATTCATATAAATTCATATTTGTGAAATAAATTATTAATTCTTGCTCTATGCTCACTTATTCTTTTAATTAGAGCTCATTATTATTATTTATTTAAATTTTTACTTTAGGTGACTGTGGTCGGATATAATCACAAATTGAGAATCTTGCTGGAAAAGGTAATTGAAAAAATTGCAAAACTCGAAGTGAAGCCCAATAGGTTTTCGGTGATCAAGGTAAGGTTTCAATTGCCCTGCTCTGCAATTAAATAAAGCTATTTCTTCTGTTCATCATGTCCAAATGTAATATTTTTTGCGATGCCGAATTGGTAGTACAGTGTATGGCATTTATTGCTAATACTCTCTTTGTTCCATAGGCATGGTTTTGTTGGCATAAATAAGTTGTATCAGTGGCTTTATGAAGCTTTTTAGATTTACTGATTCTTCTGCTCTCCTCTCTATATATTTATATGCGTGCAAGAACTCCTTTATTAAAATTTCTGGAGAAGGTTGCATAATCATTTGTAATTGATACATAATTTGGTTTTTTTGGCTACAATCTGAATTGAGCATCTTTTTTGTCTGCATGGTGCAATATATATGTGTATGTATAATATATATATAGAGAGAAAGAGGGCGGACGGGAGCAACGGGGGGCGGGGGGGAGAACATATGGAAACAATGAGATAGTCTAACCCGTGGATTGCTGCTCCTCTGTTTATGTATTATTTTTAGGTCATTATTGGAATATATTGGGAAGTTTAAGAACATCCTTCAACTTAACGTTTTACTTATACTACTCTTAACGATAGTCTAACCCATGGATGGCTACTCCTCTATTTATGTATATTTTTTAGGTCATTTTTGGAATTTATTGGAAAGTATAAGAACATCCTTCAACATTTTACTTATCCTACTCTTAACACTTTCCCCTCCTTGGAGCATTGATGTCTCTCAAGCCAGCTTGTCTAAAAAAACTTTGAGCACTCTCATGTTGTGTTTGGTGTGCAGGAATGAAATGGAATGGAATGCAAGTGGGAATAGAATGAGAATGGGAATTGAATGAAATGGTCATTCTCATTCTATTGTTTGGTTGCAAATCTAAAACGTATAGGAATGGAATGGTAATAATCATTCTAATATTTGATTGGATCAATTTAAAATTTAGAATGGAATGAATTTCAAATTAAATTCTCCAAAATACCCCTTTTATTGACAAATAAATTAAATTTACAAAATAACATTCTTCTATAATTTTTTTAAAGAAATGACGGTGGTGGTAGATGGCAATGACGATGGTGGTGGAGGTGGAAAGCAATAGTGGTGTAGGTGGTGGCGTTGGAAGGTGGCAATGGCGGTAATGGTGGTGGTGGTGGTGGTGGTGGAAGGCAGTGCAGGCGGCAGCGGCGGTGGTATGGTGGTGATGGAAGGCAGCTATAGTTGTGGAGGTGACGATGGTGGTCATAGTGGAAGGCAGTGGAGGTGGCGGTGGTGGTGGAAGGTGGTGGTGGTGGCAATGGTAGAAGGTGGTGACGGTGGTGGTGGAGGTGGCGGCGACGGTGGCAGGCAGTGGTGTGATGGTGGTGAAGGTGGTGATAGTGGTGGTGATGGTGGTGGAAGGCGGTGATAGTGACGATGGTGGTGGTGGTGGTGGAAGGCAGTGGCAGTGGTGGTAGTGGAAGGCGGTGGCAATGGCAGTCTTGGTGGCGGTGGAGGCGGCGGCCACGGCGGTGTGGTGGTGGTGAAAAGCGGCGACAGTTGTGGAGGTGACGGTGGTAGAAGGTGGTGGTGGTAGTGGTAGAAGGCAGCAACAGTGGTCGTGGTGGCAGTGCTAGAAGGTGGTGGAGGTAGCGGCGACTGTGGAAGGCAGTGGTGGAGGTGTGGTGTGGTGGTGGCAAAAGGCGGCGACAATGGTGGTGGTGGCAGTGGTGTAGGCGATGGTGGTGGAAAGTGGCGATAGTGATGGCAACGGTAATGGTGGTTCTAATGGTGACGGTGATGGTGATGGTGGCAATAACAGTGGTGGAAGGCAATGGAGGTGGCGGTGGTCGAATGTGGTAGTGGTGAAAGTCGGTGGAGGTTGCGGTGGTGGAAGGCAGTGGAAAATGTGGCGGTGTGGTGGTTGAAGGCGGCAACAATGGTAACGATGGTAGTGACAATGGTGAAAGGCAATAGAGGTGGCGGTGGTTGTGGTGAAAGGAGGCGGTGGAAAGCAATGGTGGTGATGGTTTTTGGACTTGGAACATGTGGGTTTTTGGGGAATTTAATTTATTTTTTAAAAAAAAATTATTTGGGAATGGAATGACCCATTCCATCGATTTAGTTGTGGAATGGATTTTCATTCCAATGGAATGCCCATTCCCACTTTAAATTGCATACCAAACAAAAGAATGGGTGGAAAGGGCATTTCATTCCATTCCTGCACACCAAACGCAGCATTAATGCTTTCCTGAAAGGACCTCCCAATTGATTACAAGACCTAATAATAGGATAAGTGAATGAGTTTGAACTTAACTTTTTAACAAGCTGAGCCTTGAGTTGTTCTAAAACAGCTTGGTTCATTTACAACCCTACTTGTAGGTCGAGGAATATACCTTACCTGGTAGAAAGTTAAAATTTAATGTCGGATGAATATGTGTTGTTCATAGTGGACCTATTCTGAGGAATTGTTTGAGATTTCGTCATCAGTGTTTGGCAGTGGACAATTTTCTTCTATTCATAACTATAAAGATCCATTTACCGAGCAAAAGAATATTATGTATTGTTAACTCCATAGTCTTTCTCAAGCTCTTTTGCATGTGGAAAGGCATTGACTAATATATTATGTTTATTAAATTTTCATTTTCCCTTCTGATAGGAAATGGTCACAAAGGAGTATCAAAATTTCAAATTTCAGCAGCCATATCAGCAGGCTATGTACTACTGCTCTTTAATACTACAGGATCAAACATGGCCTTTGAATGATGAACTTGAAGTTCTTCCCCATCTTGAAGCTGATAATCTTGTTAAATTTGCCCCTCTTATGCTCTCAAGGACATTCTTGGAGTGTTATGTAGCAGGTTCTTTTATTTCAACTAAATTTCTTAGAATGGTTTGAAGATGGTTGTCAATCTTTGTCTCAAGTTACCTTTCCATAATTACTTCTTTTTTCAGGTAATATTGAACCACATGAAGCAGAGTCGATGATCCAGCATGTTGAAGATATTTTCTTTAAGGATCCGCAGCCCGTATCCCAAGCTCTATATCCATCTCAGCATTTGACAAATAGAGTTATTAAGCTTGATAGGGGCACAAGTTTCTTCTACCCTGCCGAAGGACTAAATCCAAGTGATGAGAACTCTGCCCTTGTCCACTATATTCAGGTACATAATTTTAGAATAAGTGGAAAAAGGAAAAAGATAAGGTAAAAGGGAACTGTCTGATGAAGTCTGAATGCTGTAATCATCGTTATCTGTTAAAATGTCAAACATATACTGCATCCAACTCTAAAATTACCTTCAAGCAGCATTTCTCTGCGATTTTAAGGGGAAAAAACTCAAAGTTGTATCTAAAACAGAATAGAGGTAGGATTAGGGGTGGCAATTTTAGCCCAAACCCATTAAACTGCCCAAACCCGCCCAATAAAATTAAATCATTTGGGCACCCAAATTTAAGTGAGTGAGTAACAATGGGTAAAAAGGGGGTACCCATACAATTCAATGGCCAATGATGGGTTAAGAGTGGGTACCTATCTTAACCCACTCAAACAAAACCCTCTTTTCTTTCTCCTCCATTTCTCTGTCTTCCATCTCCTCCGTTTTCTGCCTCTCCTTCTCTTTTATCTTTTTCATTTTTTCACCTTTTTTTCCTCTCTCCTCCGTTTCTCTCTCTTCTCTCTTCCCTCTCCTCCCTGCTGCTTTTCTTTTCTTTTCTTTTTTCCTTGTGTTCTCTCACCTCGCTGCTTCTTTTCTTTTCTTTTCTTTTCTTTTCTTTTCTTTTCTTTTTTTCCTTGCATTCTCTCTCCTCGCTGGTTCTTTTCTTCCTTTTTTTTTTTTTTTTTTTTTTCCCTGTGATGACTCTCTCTCTCTTCACTCTTCCTTCAAATTTTGTGTTATTGTATAAAATAAATGACCAACAATTAATTAAAACTCTTGCTCAAAACTCCTTTTTTTAAATATATGTAATTAATATTGTTGAGTAAGTTATATAGTGACTTTTCCCAAAATAAATTAAAAAAAAAAAAAAAAAATTGTAACACTTGAAATCAAAAAATTAATTATTATTGTTGATTAAGTTGTATAGTGACTTTTCCCAAAGGAAAAAAGGAAAAAAAAAATTGTAATGCTTGAAATCAAAAAATTAATGTAAGAACTAATTATTAATTTTTTTTTTAGCCATGGATTGTAGGAAAGTAAAAAATTTGCAAAAGTATTGGTGGGTTAACCCATTTTGACCCACCCATTTGAGCCTTTACCCGTTTATGACCCACTATTGGTGGGTTGAGAATGGGTTACTGACCCATTCATACCCAACCCATTCCAAACCCGCCCAAACCCACCCAATTGCCACCCCTAGGTAGGATACTGCGCTGTGCTGCAGACCTTATAATTATCATCAGTGTCTTTAGTTGGGAACACACACAGAGATTGGTGCTAGGAACATGTGACAGAACAATAAGCTGAGCAACTCTGAGTCCCACAAAGAAGCATTACCTTTTTCACACTTGGATTACAAATATTGGTTATATTAGGAATAACCATGCTGAAATCTTTTATATGATGTATGTTATAACATCTTGGAGGTTCTAGTATCTTATGAGTATTCGTTTTGTTATGCTGTATTTTACTATCATGGAAAGTTTTTGCATCTCCTATCTTCTTTTCCTCATAGATCTCTTTCACTCACTATCTTTCTCTTTAAAAATTAAAAATAAAAAATCACAAGTAATTGCAACATATTTTCTTCTATTATTTGTTCTCTCAGTCGAGCTAAATAATACTTTCTAATTGGCAAGCTTACTGTAAAACTTTGAATTGATCCTTTTAATTTGTTTACTGAATCTGTGGGATTAGATTAGATTAGATTATCTGATCAGGATATGACTATTAGCAGATTTAGGTTTCGATTTACATTGTGTTGATTTGTACAATGATCAAATCAGATTAAATTGAATCAAATTCATATTACTCTAGATCCGTTCCAAATCTGACCCTTTTGCAGGTTTCCTTTCAGGTTGCCCTTACTCATACCTCAAACCATGAATGTTTCGTTAGTCATCTTTCTGTACAGCCCAACTTTTACCTAGTTCTGTTCCATGCCAGCAGCATTGATTGTCAATCATTTAACTGCTGAACCAAGCAACAACCCTTAATCCTTATCCATCCTCTGAAAGGAACCAAAATTCTTAGTTGTTTGTTGATAAATTGTGGAGTTCAGAAGCCTTCTTTATCTGGTTATTTACCATTGCTGACTATGGAGTTCAGAAGTATTAGATACCAAGATTTTTATCATAGTGAAGATGTTAAATAGGAGAATCTGACAGGATTTGCACATCAGTATTCTGAAAAGAGTTCCCTTTTGCTTACCACTGAAATATCAATTGTTTTGCCATTTCTTGTCCTATATTTCCTTTGAAAATGAGTATGTGTCTGGTACGGTATTTGGAATATGAAGTATTTGGGGTGAAGTGCAGAAAACACCCCTCATCATTCAATATTGTGCATGTAACATCCTTGTGGTACGAAATGCGTATTACAGCCATGTACTTTGAAAATATGTTACATATTACACCCTTCAGTTGGTGTGCAGTTAGAAAACAGCCGTTAGAAAGTCCATGTGGCAGTCATGTGTCATAAATTTCCTCTTTAATTCCAAAAATGAAATAAAAACCCAGAGAAAAGACACATTTACATAAACAAATTGGGTATGCTTCAAAACCCAGTATTTACCCATCAGGAACTCCAAGAGCATTTATCCACTAGAAGATATTGCAAAAAAAAAAAAAAAAAGGTATGGTTCAAATCGCATTATTAACCAATTAGGAACTCCTATGGCATATTTCCATTAAAAGAAATTGGTAAAAAGACAGAAGTCCCATTACTCATCGAAGAAAGCAATCAGAAAACCAGAATTCAATATACCCATCAAGAAAAAAATAAATTACTGGGCATTGGATAAGGACTTGTCGCAGTACAGTAATCATTGTTATCGGACCCAAACATCTTTATTTCGTCCTCATGATAGTAATTAGACCTCACTTCCCCATTATCTTCTCCTGTTCTTCGTCCTCTCCACTGCTGCCACTACCACTTCTGCTGCCACTGCCGCTTCTATGATTCAACCTCGAAAATGAGGTAGAGGAAGATGAGGTTGATGCAGAGGAAGATGATTGGTGACTCTGGTCTTCGTTGTTCTCTCTATTTTGATCGTTGTCATTCTCGTACTTTTTTCCAAAATGGTTCGGTCATACTTTACACGCATGATCAACCGTTGCAAATCCTCAACATACACCTTCTTCTTCAATCAAAAACCCTAGATATGTTATTCTATGGTGAGAGTGAGAGTGAGAGTGTGTTACAGCGAGATGTAGAGAGATAGTGTGTGTGTGTGTGTGGAAAGAGATGGGCATTTTACGTCATTTCATCTTTTACACTTTTTTTTTTTAAAGAAAACTGTTGTAAAGAGGTGGTTTTTTTGTCATTTTACCCTTCCATTAACCGCATCCAACCACAAGCCCTTATATGCACTGTTTTTATAGTAGGGGGTCTTTTTTGAACTTTGGTGGGGGGGGTGGTGTTTAGTAATATGCACTATATTCAATGTCAGGTGTGTTTTTTGCATTTAACCCAAAGTACTTATTAATAAATAAAGTGAAAGGGTAAAGAATAGAGACGTCTCTTTTTTGTGGTGGTGGTGTTTGTTTGGGATTGTAGGGGAGAGTTAGGGGTTTGTCATCACAATAAGCTGAAAATCAATAGATTTCCTGGCTCCATGATGGAAGTTTACCTCAAATCAAACTAAAATTTCGCACTGTTGGAAGGTTCTATTTTACTGATTATTTGATTTCTCAATTGTCATAATAATATAGGACATTCAATTCAAATGCTTTCTACTGGTACTTTAAATTCATTTGTGGAACCATCTTTCCTAGAAACCCTAACATGCCAACTTTTTAAAATATCAGGTTAATCAGGATGATTTCATGCTGAATGTTAAGCTCCAGCTTTTTGCTCTGATTGCAAAGCAACCTGCCTTTCACCAGCTTAGATCAGTTGAGCAACTTGGTTACATCACTGTGCTCATGCAAAGGTATGTAAATGTTGATTATTATTCCTGGACTTCTTTGCATAATGGAAATTTAAATATATTTTGTCAATTTCCAAATTTCTTTCAATGTAGGAATGATTCTGGTATTCGGGGGCTACAGTTTATTATTCAATCCACAGTAAAGGTATATAGAAATGTTTTCCTATTGTGAAAGCTTCATCACCTCCTACCTTACCAAAATAAATAAATCTTTATCACCTCCTCTAAAGCACTCTTTTTGGAGCTTGACAGGGTCCTAGACATATTGATCTGAGAGTGCATGCATTTCTCAAGATGTTTGAGACTAAACTTTATGAGATGTCCAATGATGAATTCAAGGTGAGTTTAACAATGCTATTTTCATGCGTAACTTTCCGTTCACACGTTATCATGGACATATTGTTCTGCATTAAGTTTGTCTTTGAATTTACTAATGCTTAGCTTCTCTTGTGGAAGGACAAATGTTTTCCTTTCTGCAATTTTTTAAAATCTGTGACAAAATGCGTCATCATAGGAAACATATTTGTAGCACATAGCAAACAGCTTGGATTTAAAAATCTAAAGTAGAAAAATATAAAGGACACTTCCCTTTTTTAATTCATTTCCCTGATGCCTAATTCTTTTATTTTTTATGGGAAAAAATAAGTTTTGTGGCAACTAAATTGCTTAAATTAATCTGAAGTCTGTTGAAAACCACAAAAATGGAAAGGATCTTGCCTTCAAATCTTACCAGGTTACAACTTACAATGGCACAATAACACGCGTGACTTGATTTAGAGAAAGCATAGCTTATTGAAAGGAAGGTGAAGATTGAAGACATTTTTAGCCACCTGTTGTTAGTGTTTGGTGTTTCACATTCCCTTGTTCCTTGTGACTTATGAAAGTGGTTTGCAGTTTGTCATTTGTAATCAATCAACTCAGCTGAACTCAATAAAACTTCTCTCCAACTAGTTGGGCTTTTAGATACATGCACTTTCTCTGTGTGGTCAAACATCAGCCTTTAAGGAGGGCCTAACCTCTAAGAATTTAATTGTGTTGTAATCCCTGCTCCCAAACGGGCATTTAGGATGTCGAGGACAGGTGGAAACCTTTGAAGTCAGCTAAAATTTCTGCTGTAGTTCGTATATGCATGTCTGTTACAATGCGTTTCTAGCAGTTTCTCTTGTCAAATTACTGTGAAGAGGATTATTACAATGGGAGTAGATGCAATTGGCACTATATTGAGTTTCAACTAGTTAATTAAAAACCTTGAATCAGGATCTGGTGCATACTTTTTCATTTGATAGTTTGATTTCCAGTCATATATAGGGGCTATCTCAACTGCTTAGATTCACTATATGGGTTATATTTTTTTGTTTCATCACTGAACTGTTAGTAACTGAATGTCAATTCTGTCAACCGCAGTATTTTGAACCCTTGGACCGAAGACTATTGAAATCATCTACTGCTTTGAAACTATGCCATTGGTACTTAGTCTGTGTCTTGCAAATAGTTTTGTTGGCAGTTAGGCATACAAGATCTCATAATTGAACATAATTTAGGATAGGGAAATAGAAGCTCAGTGGAATGGATCTGCTATTTATTCATTCATTTTCTGTGCTGCATTTAGTTTTTGTCATTATATTGTTCTTTTAAATTACTTGGTTTTGTGGACCATTTTGTTGAATCATCCTAATGTTTAGTTGCCTATATAATTGCTTGATTTTGTAAGGATCCACTCTACACATTTTTATAACTATTGAACTGGTTGTTTCACAGAGCAATGTTAATGCACTGATCGATATGAAGCTTGAGAAGCACAAAAATCTAAGGGAAGAATCTGGATTTTACTGGCGAGAAATTTCTGATGGTACCCTCAAATTTGATAGGAGAGAGTGTGAGGTATAAAGATTTGAAATATCTTTACGCGATTAGTTAAATATAGATTCTTGCAAGTATATATTTGAATATTGCACCAATTTATCCCACATTGACGCAGAGTCACACACCACCAACAAAGTCCACAATTCTTTCCTCCTATACATTCACTTCTACTCTTCACCAACATTTCTACTACCCAAGTGTTTCAGGCCACCAAACCCCCTCCCCCCATCTCTACATTTTTCACTTCTATATCCATTTTCCAATTTTGCGTTTGCTGAGCTTAATTTTGCTTTAATCCTTTTATTCATCACTGATTGCGTTTATAAACATTTATAACCCAGGCTTCCCCTGTTGCACGTCTCTCTCTCTAATGTTTTAACCTTTTGTTTATGTGCTTCTTTATTATAATTAATGTTCTAGATTTTTGATGTTTTGTGATTCTGTGATTACTGTTTTCCGACTGCAAGTGTGAAATGAGACTTGAAATTAGGGTTCTGAGATCATGATTTGTGTAGTAGAAAGTATTTTTGATATGTATATGTATATATTGAAAGTAAGGGTGGGCCTTGGCACAATGGTAAGATTGCTCTATTGTGACTTGGAGGTCACGATTCGAAACTGGAAAAAACCTCTCCATGCGGAGGGAAGATGTATGAGCTGCGTACATCTGACCCTCCCTAGACCCAATGGCAGGATCCTCTTGCACTGGGCTAGCCCTTTAATTTTATGTGTATATTGCAAGTTTGATGATTTTGATTCATAAAACATGTTGATTTTGATTTTGATTCATAAAACAAGTTCTCTCTCTCTAGCCTTGTGATTTTCATTTTGGATGCCTTGCTAATAGGAACCAACAAAATATATTGGAAGGAAACCACACGAAGAGAGAACAATTTATATGGCAACATTACTAGTCAAATTTGATATATTCTCTTTATTGGCTTTGAAACAGGTTGCAGCATTAAAGCAGCTGACTCAAAAGGAATTAATAGATTTCTTTAATGAATATGTAAAAGTTGGTGCTCCTGGAAGGAAAACACTAAGTGTACAAGTGTATGGGAACTTACATTCTTCGGAGTTTAAAACCGACAAGAGTGAACCAGCTGAAACCAACTTTGTTCAGATAGAAGACATTTTCAGTTTCAAGAGATCACAACCACTTTATGGTTCATTTAAAGGAGGATTTGGTCATATGAAACTGTAAGAGTTGAATCTTTGTTGGTGGTGCATAAAACAGAAACTGAAGATGGAATTTCAAAATCCCAACTGGTTGATATCTCGATCGTGAATATTGTCAGAGGTTGGATATTCCATAACAGCGACTGTTCAATGCATATAGTCTCCTAAATTATCTCCTGCTGCTATTGATTTGTCATATCATTAATTTATTATTATGTAATAAATCAATAATAATTATGTGGAAACTCTCTCTCTCTCTCTCTCGTTTGTTAATTTCTATTATAGATGGTGTTGGATTAAGGCGGTTATGTCCTTATCCAACTTCGTATGAAAATATCGTGTTTATCACACTCACCCTTCGAATAATTCATGTTCCAAAACTATCAAACTCTTGATTACCGGATTTTTTGAACACGTATAGGCTATATGTACTACGTACAATTGCTATACATAAAAACTATACATAAAAACACACCTATAGGCTATATGGGTGATGTGTGTTGATTAAAATTTTTTTTTAACTATATATTTGGGTTTATGCAATTAGGTGATCGATCGAGTGCTTAATTGTATTGATATGTTAGTGTTATTAAACCGCCCAATTCAGTACGATCCGATGCAGTTTTTCGGTTTATCGGATTTTTTGAACACCCCTATCCAAAACTTTTAAACTCTTGATTTATCGTTCAATGGATAAATGCCCTAAAAGGTAATTCAGGACACAACATTATATTTCACCCCTTTATTTTTGTATGACAAGTCTGAAAAAGTTATGTTCATCGAAAGATTAAAAAAAATTTATCTTTTCGTGTTATTCAATGTTTAATTTCTTTTATTTTCCCTGATAATTGAAATCCGAATCGAAATCAGTCTCTTCAAATACAACTGCACGGTGTTCATGTTATGACAAGGATTTTTTCTATTCCATATATGCAAGACTGGTAAGAGTAATTCCCAAATTGTAGACAAACTTAAAAAAAATTATGCATGAAGCTCATTATCATAAGAATTTAGCAAAAAATCATAAAAAGTGTACTATATTTCATGGCCTACTAATGTTGTATTATTTCTTTATAAGAGGATGAACCTTACCATTAAAACCAAAACAAAAAACAACAAAAAGAAATGGACATATGAACATAGGTTGTGTTATTTCTTTGTGATAGTGGAATGACCATATGAACATAGATTTCATGGCCTACTAATGTTGTATTATTTCTTTGTAAGAGGATGAACCTTACCATTAAAACCAAAACAAAAAACAAGAAAAAGAAATGGACATATGAACATAGGTTTAGTAGTACTTCTTCTACTGGACCAAAAAAGGCCCCTCCGCCGTATACATAGTTGCGATAATGGCATCATTAGTGTGGTTTTACCCACATTTTCACCTTCTTCTTAAATCAAAATTATCCCAGTAGTGTAATTACTGAAGTCTCCCTCTATACAAAGACTTGATATAGCCGTGTCTAGCTCACTACTTTATCATGCTATGCTATCTGCACAAAATATTGTCAAAATATTAGAGGTATGCAGTCTAATAATTCCAAAATTACAATTATAGACACGTCACACACACACATCCTAACTATTTCTGCTGACTAGTGACCACTACACACACATGTTGGTTAGATTCTCAATTAGTTCGGAATTTGGACCTTTAATAACCTTCTTTGAAAAGGTAAAGGAGATCCACCTTAATAAATTGTATTGGAACAAAAATTCAAATTTTTAGTAGAATGTCAATGATTTTTCTGCTATGTAGCAGGCCCTAAACATGTGTGTGTAAACTGTGAACAAATTATATATAAACACATTCTTTTTCGTGTATTATATAGCATGCCCAGTTTAAGTGTTTCAATTTCACTTTTTTTCTCTATAAATGATTTTTGGACCAAAATGTTCAAAGAAAGAATTATACATTGAGGTACTTGAACACTTCTACCAAAGTAACGCAATTCCGTTTTTTTAGTTGTTAAATCCACATGAATTAACAACAGTAACGTATTGCAATTATATTTTTCATTTAAATAAATATGCATGGCATTGAATAAAATTGAGTACAAAATTGTGATTTGTGTTACCTTGTAAATATAGGGGTCGTTACGGCCTCCTGCGCCCGACCTCTTGACCTCATCCAACTTTAGCAACCTGCACAAAAAAAAAAAAAAAAAAAAAACTGATTTTAATAATCCTCAAATTACCAAACGTATACCAAAGTTTAAATAATCATCACCGTTGATCCAGTCTTGTTACTTTTCTAATATAATCTGCGGCTGTGATAATCCAACCATACTGGTCACTTTTACAATAAAAGCACTAGATTGGATAAGCCATAGTGTACCACGTCACACTCTTATGACACGTGGTCAGTTATCAATTCTAGAGAGAGAGAGAGAGAGAGAGAGAGGGAGTGATCACATTCTCAACGCTTTACTGGTGTCTGGGCTGTCACCGAGCAATTGACGAATCTTCAATTCAGAAGCACAACCATCAGACAAGACCTTCAAGATGGCTTCGGCTCGGTGGTGCAAGAGAGCCGAGCCGATTTGCTTCCTCTTCAGATCACAAGCCAAAGCCTCTCTCTTCCCCATTCGGGTGACATTGTTGCAGGTTCGCGCGCTGGAAATTACACTAGAGCCACTACTGGACAGACTCGAAGAAGCCTCAGTCGTCTCCGATGCAGATCTCGACGGCACCTTCGCTGCCTTGCCGGACAAGATTTTCAAGTGACCGGAGCTTCTAAAGTTCTTCGATCGACTCTTCCGAACTACATGCTAAATTCATAGATTTAAAACAATTTGAAATTCAGAACTAGAGAACTTGGAAACAGAGTCAAACAGGGCAGTACAGTGGATCAACGTAGAGAAAGCATATAACAAATCACAAAGCAATCAAACACAATGATCATGAGCTTCAATTCAGAAGCACTACAGTCACAATGCAACTTCAAGAAATGATCAAGAACACTACAATTGAAAATCGATAAGAAATAACACACAACTTAATTATTTTTAGCTTCACCACCAACTCATATTCAAAACAGCGAAGCTTCAGATCAATCCAAAACTCAAATTCGGCTGAATAAATCAGTCCATAGAGAGAACTCAATAAATAAATAAAAATATGCTATATAGATTAGTCGCCTTTGAACAAATAATTCTTACTCTCTGAACATGTAATTGGAACTTGACCATAGAGTGAGAGAACATGTCACAAACTACGTACATAGAAAACCAAGAACAATGATCAAGAACTTCAAATCAGAAGCATACAAATCACTGCTCAACTCCAAAAAATGATCAAGCACAAAACAATTGAAAATCAGTAAGAAGTAAAATAGAATCCAATCACTTTGAGCTTCATCAACACGAACTCAAAATTCAAAAGTGATGAAGCTTGAGATCAAATCCAAAACGCAAATTCAGCAAAAAAAAATCAATCAGGTCACAAAGAGAACTCTGAGAAAATACTATAGAATTTCGATTACCTTGAGCTTCATCTCGTGAAAACGAGATACAACAGCGACAAACCTAATCCGATGCGATCGAGTCTCCTCAGATGAGCCATCGTCGCAGATTACAGACGATGAACACGATTTCGAATCACTGAATCCCAAGCTCTCTGAAATACTGATCTTCTTCACACTGCTACAAATTCAAAACACAAATTAATTATCTATCAGAAACAGATAAAAATCATAAACTAAAAGAAAATGAATTCAAAATTCGAGTGAGTTTGAATTACTCAGGAGGAGACAGAGGAGGAGGAGTGGTGGAGAGAAGGAGAAGAGCCGAAGCAACTGTGAGTTCGAGCGGACATGGAAATGCTTCCATTTTCGAAATCACGTTTTTGGTTTCTGTGATTCAGAAATGGCGGGCTAATCGAAAACAATATTTGAATTTTTTGGTTTGAAGCTGCAATTGATCTCTCCCTGGGCTCTCTCACTGTGTTTAACGGTTTATAAGTACTGTAGAGTGGGGGATTGTCTTTGCGAGAACGTGTAGTTGCAACTTGGTGAACCTGTCACGGCATGCCACGTTGCAATGAACAATGCCTGTTTTGTACGAGCTTCTATGCAAATTTGGAATTTCACTTGAGATTTTTGTCCTCCTTATTTAAATCATATAAATAGCAATCTAAAAATTTTGAATCCTGTAATATGTAACATGCATTTTTTCGTAAAAATAAAATAAAATAATTGAATTAAAAAATAATGGATTCTACACACTAAATTAAAATAACAGACTATATGATTATTATTCAATTTATTCTTACTCTTCTAACTCTCGTATAGTAAGAAAACTAAGATATTCATTAATTTCTTGTTTTCCTACAGAATGATGAAAATTTGATTTGATTAAAGCCAAATATACTTTTCTAAAATTGAGATGTTAAATAAAAGATCTAAACAAAAAAAAAAGTATGCCCCATCGCATATCATGATTTATAACCTCTTTGGGTCTGGTTGTCTTTTTTCACTCAATGTTATCCATGTTTTTTTTTATATCAGATTTCTATTTTTTTTTTAAAGTAAAAAATGGCTAGTGTTTTTTTATTGTTTATTTTGTATTTTACTAACCGTCTCAGTTGGCTCACGAATTATAATTAGATTATTATCCTCCTCTTGTTCTACTTCAATTTCTTTCTCTTCCTTTTTTTTAATTTTTTTTTTTTGTAAAAATAATAATAATAAATTACTTCTATGGCAGTAGAAGGCTATCATAAAGTAATGCAATCTCAATGAAGGTGAGATTTGAATCTAAGTCACTGGGATGAATAATACCAAAAAAAAAAAAAACAATTGACTTTCTACAATCAATTTTCTTTTTGTAAGATATAGTTCCCTAAACACTTGGGTGATAAATCTTTATTTTTATTACCTATGTTTTTAAATAAAAGAAATATCAATCACCTTTCCCAACAAATCATTTGGGTGTTTATTATTATTATTATTTCCCAAGGCAAGGTGTTAATTAGCTTTTTAAACACCACAAATGGATACGAGGATATTTTAGGAGATTTGATAATTGGAGAAAGAAAGAGGGAACATAATTTATTAGTAAATAATGTATGAAACGAACGGTCAATTCTATGAATGAAAAGGGTAAAAAAAAAGGATTCAATTGTCATTAAAAAAAAAAAAAAAGATGGGGGTAAAATGGGCAATGCAAACTCCCTTCTTCGATCCTTCCACTTCCTCTCCCCACTTCCACTTGTACAAGGAAAGCAAAAACATAAATACTTGGAAGTGTTAACCAACTACTTTTTCTCTGTTCCACATAAAAGAAAATACGATTTTGAGATTAAGAAAAGAAAACATAGTCTATATAGCTAGCTAAGTTCCATGAATGCAGTCATCAATATATAGCTAGGTTCAATTGCCTTCCAAAAATGCTGTCAATAAACAAATAGCATTCTGAACATCCTTCTTGTACATACTGGTTGAGGATCTTCGTTTCACAAAGGAAAGGAATACGCATTCCCCAGATAAGCTGGCCAGTATATATGCAGGTTCAGGGTAGCATAAGGAAGCACTTCTAATTAAGAAGGCGAGTTTTATCTATGCCAATAAATCATGTCCAATTTTATTAGTCACCAACAGTCACTGTGCCTCGAGTGTATTTCAACCTTGCGCAAACTACACCAAAAAAGAGTAACAACTCCATTTTCCAACCCCAAAAACAAATAAATAAAGCAAAATGCTAATCATCACCATGATTCACATTCCCAGAAGCATTCACATTCCCAGAAGCAAAATGCTAATCATTTGCTCTCAAGATGCATAAGAAAAATCTTTGTACATATGCAACCAAAACTGAGTAATGACCTCGCCCTCTGAGAATAACGGTCTGAAATCCTTACTATCACCTCAATATAAGAGAGGATGAACAGCAATGAGTTGAAACGGAATGGCTACCACCTAGCTTTTGCTACTGATAGAGGATCTCTCCAGACTGCTAGTCCACCTCCATATCAGCAATGGCTTCATTCAAGATGCTCTGGAGTTCCTTCACTCTTTGTCTTGTTAAAGCAACACAATCCTGCAACCATAGCATGCCAACTCATTAACAGCCAACAACTGAATTCTTTTGTATTTTCAAAGTTTATTTGTATCATGTCTTAGTAATCACCAATATGATTTGAGTATTAGGTAATAATAGACATATTCAACTAAAGTTACTGACAGAAGAGTTTTTGTATACATCTCCAGTTATAATCCATCAATTCATTTACAGATTTTCAAAGAAACCATCTAGTATATCCAATAAATACAACATCTCCACCAAGGTTATTGATTTGACCAAAACTAAAAATTAAAAATAAATTGGTTTTCTTGAGCATAAAACTATTCTCAAATTCCAACTAACCTTGAATCATTCTCTGTCAATAAAATCACAATTATTTTTTTATTTTTTTATTTTTTTGTGATTTCACTTTGATTGTGGCACAGCCTTCATTTTTTTTTTCCTAATGAGTTGGTGTAGGACCCACAGCTTAAACACGTACAAATCCATATTTGGTACATTTGATGTGTCCTCTTAATTACATAGTAATGTTGGTAGAACTTTAGGTCCCATTGCAATATGAAACTTGAGCTGCAATCTAACCTGGATAGCTGATGTATGTGCGAGAACTGGTCCGCCTGGCTTGTAAAGTGACACAAGTTGACAAGATGAATCCAATACCACAGTTACAAGAGTTTCCATAATGGACTCTTCCTCTGCTGTAGGATCTGCCAGGATGTAGTTCTTGTGAAGTATGCATGTTAAGGAGAAAGGAATGCTTCTCAACTTGAGCGTCCTCTTGTCTTTATTCACTGGCTCCGTTTCCAACTTTGTTCCCTCAATTCCATCAGAAACAAGTACTATTCTTCCATCATCATTCAAAGAAACTACTGGAATTTGCACTGCAAGGCATGAAAGTTCAATTATAAACAGAGTGCAAAATATATTGCCGGTCAATGGTACATAATGGATTGAAGTGGAATTCAAGTTCGAATGTTTGATAAAAGTAATGAACTTGGGTACCCATACATCTCAAGTTCAAATCAGTAGATAAAACTAATAAAATTTAGGGATCATGTCAGACACCAAGGAGATCTTGGGAATGCTTTAGTTTACTTTGTTGCAAAAAAGCAATTGCGGAAATTTGTTTAAATAGAAACAAACCAAATCAGGGAACAAATCTCTAAAAGCAGCCTGAGTGGAGCTCACCTGACTTGCAAATGAAAGATCAGGACCCAACAACAGAGGGCGCATGTGACTTCAATATGGACAAACATTCAGAGAAACCAATTTAGACTAACTGATTCTACAAAGATTTTTTAGAGTATGTAATCTTAGCAAAGATTTTTTGATCCTCAACAATAAGAATCAAATCCTTAGTGCCACGCCACCACTTTTCCACTATGCTAAAAGGGCTTTCGCAGAAATTTTAAGAAAAATTTTTTAGAGAAAATTCTCACTCAGATGTATTAGTCATTCAATCAATATAATTCCTTGCATTGACAAACTCTAAAATGGGGCCCAACATATCATTAGTCCTGCATCACGTGTTTTAGTAACATTGCTTGAGAACCATGAATTGACGTTCAAAGGCAATTTTTCCACACAAAATATGTGCACATAAGACAAATATAACTAAAATAACATTCCCTCACTGATTCGAAACACGGAAACAGCCTCTCCGCATGCGGGGTTAAGGCTGCGTACATCTAACCCTTCCTAGACGGGCCAGACCCCGCAATGGTGAGAGCATCATGCACTGGGTTTTTCATGTTTCTAACTCCCCAGGCATTGCAAAATGCCACAGAACTCCCTAGATAGCCAAAAAGATTGACAACTTATTACTGTAGACATTATGAGAAAAAATATAGAAGAGACTTGTCAAAGATGTATGGTGTGCTTTTGACAAAATGAATATGCAAAACATTTTGTTCTCCGAAACTCAGTTTAACATATTGAGTTTACAGAACATAGGGGGGGTTGTGAACAAAAACAACAGAACACTTTCTTTTCTTTTTTCTTCATTCTTCTTTTAATATGTGAGAAAGTTCAAGATCATCAATCAAGCATTTATTATATGCTCTGGAGATAGAGAAATAGAGAGAGAGAGAGAGACAGAGAGGGGGGGGGGGGGGGGGGGGGGGGGGGGGGGACTATAGTTGTGTTAATCCCTGTTAATACAGGGTACTAGTAGGATAGGTTAACTGGGTAAAGGACTAATTGATATTTATTCGTACATAGCGCTTGCCCTTGTACTCAAAGCCGCAAAACTCATGCTACACAAAGCAATGGCCCCAAATTGTGTTGCTTTTAAAATAAATAAATAAAGTAATGATATGCATTACTAGAACAGCAGAATTATGCTATAAAGTAAGCACCAATATCCAGATCTATGATGCTTACCCTCAATGTTTCTACCATATCCTGACTCCTAAGGGTAGTAATTCATACTAGCATCAATAGGCCTAATACAGAAGTACGCACAATAACGAGCATATCTCAAATCAAATGACACCAAAAACATAAGAAACCAATAAATAAATAAAATCCCATGAGGAGAAAATCACGAGTGCTAGTAGATCTCTAGCCGACCATGAGTCACAACTACTATGCTAGTCTTGTTCTCCAAAAAAGTTGGAGAAATTTTGCCTACTACCATTTCTGCTCTTCCATAATTGATAAATGAGAGAATTTAAATCTATCTGCATATGTAAGGTTGCAGCAAGAAAAAAAAAAAAAGAAGGTTGCAGCATGTTCACTAGAAAAGAATATTCAAGTTTGAATACATATCCAGCCAACCAGTTTCATTTACATATTCAGACCAAAAAGTGTGCCCATTGGCCATGTATAGCTCTTTGTTTTTGCAAGAAGTTAAGAACTACTTCGAAAGAAGGTGTTGGTTATGACATAAAGTATAATCTTGTGGAGCAAATATTAAGCATAAATTATGCCTCTATTTTGCTGGTGTAATTAGTGCGAGTGGGGTTCCAGGTTGCTGGTGTAAGTTAATGTGAGTTGGGTTCCGTAACTCAGAATTTTTCTTCCTTATTCCTTTTTTTATTTTTAACAAGTATCACTGAATGCCCTACCACCTCCACTGGAATGGGCCTTTAGTGATACAAAATGATAGAAATGTAGACAGTTCATATCTTACAATGAGAGAAAGCAGCAACTGCTGAAAGTAATGCAGCATCAAAAAGCGCACCATCAGCATCCAAACAGTATATATCCTACATCAAAAACAATTCACATAAAAGAAGTCAAATCAAATGTCAAATACGTAGAAGGCATGCTTCTCAGATTCGCATTAATGAAACGACTGATTCAGATCTTGAAAACCATTACCAGGTAGGCCATCCAAGCAGCTTTTCCACTGACCAAGGATAATTCCTTCAAATTAATCATGCCAGAACTGCATCAATTCAAACAAATAGTCAGTTCAAAGATATGTGGCAGTCTAACAGATGAAACAAATAGAACTTCAGATTGAAGGTCAGTCGCTGTATATAACAAGAAATTTTCAAAAAATTAAGATCACTAAAACCGTATATACTCCATACAGAAAATTATTTGGCATAGACCCACAAAAAGCCAGTAGCACGTCTAGCGATTATTTGGAAAGCACATCCGTAATGTTGGCAGAAGTTCATAGAACGGAGAAAATGCTACAGCAGAAGAACAGATAATTTATCTGATTTTCTCTCCAACATTTAATTTTTGTGAGAATGACATGATAATAATAAATAAACCTCCCCCACATTTTCAAAAAATCAATCCAGATGTCCACACTAACAAGTTAATACAAAGGCACATATACAGAACGAAGGTCTCAGTACAGAGGTAACTAAACTGCCTTTAATGTACTTAGTACATGCACAGTGCAAGAGCATTGCAGAGGCATATACATGAGGCAAATGCATTAAGTGGTGAAGATATATATTTTTTCCTAGTTGGTACTAAGTGGTGATGATATATTTACACATTATGCAACCACAAGGAAGTGACCCAAGTAAAAACAAAAACAATATGAAAAAATAAAAAAGTATAGGGCACCCATCACGATATAGATAAAACTATATAACAGAACAATATCACAACTCTAGCCGAATGACATTGGGAAAAAAACTGAGCAATTATAAAGAACAAGATGACAATGCCATGCCTCAAGATAGTGTCAGACAACTGCTTGGACACAACTGGTGCTGCCTCGGCTGGCCTGCCAGGCCTAACAAGTGGAGAACAAATTGGAGGCATGTGGAAATCAATAGCTGGAGACGACAGAAATTACACATTGATAGCCCGTAGATAAAAGCAAACAGGAAACGTAAATAGAAGAAAATATGCGGTTGAAGATAATGAACCTATGCAGCCCTCATCGGGTGAATCTGTTGCAGGGGTCATGACTTCCATTTTAATGGCAGCCAACATGGTCTGTGCAAAGACAGAAAAAATGAGATCGTGAATCAGTTCTGATAACAAAGAACAATTTTTACAGCACATATAAAACCTTAAATTTACATAAACAACTCATGTTAATTCAAAAAAACTTCATCGCAAAATATAAAACTTGCGTGTGTGCAGAGGGAGATAGAGAGAGCATGAGGAGTGGGAATAAGCACTTACAGTGCAACCTATCTTCGCCATTGCTGATCCGTCAGCAGAAGCAACGGCTCCTAGATTTGAGAGAGGGGGGGGGGGGGGGGGGGGACAATTCAAGCAGGAACATGAATTCAGAAAATTCCTAATGAGAAGTGAAAAAGTACAAAGTTTTCAAAGAATATCATACTAAACTAACCAAGGGCCAGAGTTGTCTCCCTAGCTTTTCCAAGGGGCCTAGCATCGGGTCGTATGGACTCAAGAAGATGGCGTTCATGAAAGCGCAGAGGGAAAAGGCGCCTAAAAGCGTCCACCTCCATTTCTGATGACAAATCTCCGGATGCATTTGCAGAACCCATCTTATTTTATTTGTCTTGTTGTCCAACAATACCTGTGATCTTCAAGACTACAAGCAGATTGGCAATAAACAACAGAAAACTTTAAAAAAATGCAACTATAGTTGCACATGCTTTAAAAACTTAGTGGCCATTAAAATTCAACAAACAAAAGCCAAAAACAGATAGTATGCAGTCATCTCCGTTCTAAATGTATGTCATATAATCACAAGATTCACAAGTATCAAAATTCAAGAGAATGACATATCAATAAACCACAAGTAAATGCATGTGGGATTAAAAAGCAAGACTAAAATCCTAATTTCTGAAGGCGTGATCAGAATAAAGAAAGAAAGAACTCAACAGTAAATAAGTGAGGGGGGATAAAATAGAGGAAATAAAACAACGTACGAACACATCCAAGGAAAAGGAAACGAAATTTTTACAGCTTGTAAGCCATAGCACAACGGAAGCTACAACTTCAAGGCTCGAATTTGAATAAAATTCGGCATTTAAATCCAATTAAACTTTATAAGAATTATAAACACATTCAAGAAAATCTTTGGCAATGAATGGCAAGGTTAGTCACCATATTCTCGCAAATTCTACGCACTTAATCAGAACTAAAATATTCACGTATATGGAAGAACAATGCAGACACAAGAAACCGTGATTATTACTCACACAATCAATACACTCGTATATGAATGAAAATAATTTCAGATAATCTAGAGCAGTTCATTTCGAGGCTGACGGACCAAGGAGCGAATTGCCGAGACAACATTACAGAAAAAAGATCGTTCAAGAAGCCAAAAAGGAGAGAGAAACCTAGTGATTGTCGAAATTGACCAGAGGATGATCGCCAGTCGTTGTCTTGACGGCGTGCGACGCCGGGAATGCAGTCCAATCGCCGGTCGCTCAGTCTTGTGGAGCCTGAGAACGACTGAGATAACATCATTGGAGGAAACCTAATTTTTTCCAATATATAGTGGAAAATAACCCAACCGGTTTGACTTACCCGTGAACAAGCGTTATTCGTCGTCGGTTCAAACCAGCGGTCCACTCATAATTTCTTAAAAGGGAAGTTTTGGGCCTTTCAGCTGGTTAATGAAGAATACTGAGATCAATGGGCCTTCATATATGAAAACAGCTCTTTGAATGCTAGATGGAATTCTGATTCTGGGCTTCCAGGCTGATGATTCTCAATGAAATTGATTGATATTTAAATCAAAAAATGTTGTGATGTAGTTCTAATTGTTTGGTATTGGCTTTGGGGAGAAGAGATTGATAGCCCAGTTGATAGAGGCATTCCATGGATATTGGCTTTAAACACCGACCCCTTGAAATTTTGAAATGTCTGGTCTATTTTGTCAAAAGAGATTCAAACTAATTATAACTATTTTTTTGGCCTTCTGGACAATTATAACGGGTGGGCGCTTGTCCATTTACCCAAAAGTTCGAACTATTAGGTAGTCCGATGTGGGACAAGTCTCCCCTTGTAACATTCTCCCCCACCTGAATTCGCAACGCCCTCGTTGCGGTCGGGCCACCCTACCTACCTGGGGTAGCTCACCAGGACGCCTTCCGGGCCGGGTACTTGGCGTGGCACTGGATCAAGGACTGGGTCTGACTCTGATACCAACTGTAACGGGTGGGTGCTTGCCCATTTACCCAAAAGCTCGAACTATTGGGTAGTGCTGCATACCCACTCATTTATACTCATGTCGCTTCCCATCTTGATTCGATGTGGGACAAGTCTCCTCTTCTAACAACAATTCACTTCAAGAGATAGAGCATGCCACTAAATTACACTCATTGATGGTTAATTCAAATTGAATTGAACCGATTGAAAATCTTAAATTGAATAGTGTAAGAATAACTTAAATTAGACTACTAAAGTCTATGGCCTAGTGGTATTTTTTCTCCTTCCAATATGAAAGATAGAGAGTTCGAGTCTCCTGTTGTGAGAGTTAATTGTCGGGACAAAAAAAAATATATACTTGAATTAGTTTGATTTTTTGCTAATTGTCTTTATTTAAAAACCAAATTGAGAGTAACTAGCTCCAATACACTATTAAATCTGGCAAAACTAAAAAAATTAGTTTACTTACCCAAAAAAATTTATTTATCATCCTAATAATAGCTACTCATTCACTTTATCTTTTATGATTTGTTTGCATGTAGAACTTTTAGCTAACTCAAAGGCAATTTTATCCAAACATAACATTTTTTATGTGAAATATAACCTTATATATATATATATATATATATATATATATATATATATATATATATATATATAAGGTTATGTATATATAAGGTTATAATTATTGGTTTGATCAACAGATATATTAAAATTTTCATTTGATTTTTACATATCTCAAAAATTGTTTCAATTCAATAATTAGTGAAAACATTCTATTTTGGTAGTATAATCCAAAATAGAAAGAGACTTATATCCAAAATAGACTCATTGGTAGTATAATCCAATTAGGCTGCAAATATTTTTTAAATTTTGTTAAAATATTAGTCAAATTACTGTGGAAAATTAAACTCGCTCCAACTACAGCATAATTAGTACGAGGCCCAAATTAATAAGGCCCACTCAGGCCTGCCTTCCGTACTGTCCTAGGCTTTTGAAATTTTAGGCCTGACTTAGTGGGCATGCTGACCACTCTAATTTTTGACTAAATATGACCTAAATCCAACATACCAAGCCCATTCTTCTTGTGTCTTATTGCTTCCAAATTACGCTACTGAGAGAGAGAGAGAGAGAGAGAGGGAGAGAAAATGGCGTGCATTTCAGGAGGCTGTCAGTCCGGTTGCTACAAAGAAAAGAACGAAGAAGAAGAGGAACAGTTGCCGGCGGAGAAAAGAGAAGCGGCCAATGGCGTCGCGCCTTGTGGCAGCGACATATGTGTGAAGTGCAAGGTTAAAGAAACCATCGCCGCCACTGCTGCCGCCGTTGGAGGTGGCGGAGATGGTGGCCGATTTTGCGTCGATTGCTTTCGGAGCAATCTTTTCGGTAAGTTCAGGTTCGCGGTCACCTCCAACGCCATGGTTTCTCCCTCCGACAAGGTCCTCGTTGCATTCTCCGGCGGCCCTTCTTCCAGGTTTCTCCCTCTAAAACTCTATTTATCTCTTGAATTATGAATTATGAATAATTATTTAATTGTGAAATCAATCATTCTTTTTGTTCTATTTTATAAGGTAGGCTATTTTATAAGGTAGACTAGTCCTAGCACAAAGACTGGTTTTGGGATGAGGGTTTCATAGTGATGTAAAACATTTTTAACAAATTGGGATGCTCCGTTGTAGAATGTTGGGGATTTTCGAAGTAAGAGGGAGAGGAGACGTTTTATCCTTTTTTAAAGAGATAGTAAGATCTAAGCCATCACATCTTTTGGGTTTTTCAGACTAAATAATTTGAATGTAACCCTCTTTCATTCACTATCAACCGATATTCCCCATACGGAGCTATCGGCACCGTTCTGTGTAACATGTATTAGAGGAATTTTGGGGCATTAGCTTTGAAGGACAGTGACGGGGTTTGGCTGTCCCCCAGGGATGGCGAATAATTATGGGGGATGCTTCTGGTTCCATGTGATACCCCCGGATTTCCAGATGCGGGTTGGCCAGGCCCACGCCCGACTACCCGAGGATATCAAACAATTAGCAATAATCGAATACAGAATATAATTAAGATAAACATGAGTAAATAAAATTCGCTGGAAAGAAACTAAATAAAAATTCTTTATTAAAAACTTAAGAATAAATCTTATAAATAAGAACTAGTCTGTTACATCCAACTTCTCCAATTATAATATAACTCGAGAATCCATCTGGTGGACCCCTAATCAAAAGCCAATACTGGAAAGCGAACAACTAACAAAGAAGTCCACTGCTAAACCACGAAGAACCTCCTACATCGTCGGTAGAATGAGAAGTCGTCTCTGCTCAACACGAACAAGCTCTAAGACCTGGAACCGTTACCTGAAAAATAATAGTGGGTCAGGCCCACGAACAAGTTCTATCCTAACTATAATCCAAACAGAGACCCGATACGCAGATACATCATAGACATCTCAATCATATCTATATAGTCCGTAATAGATAAATATATATCCACACTACAGGACTCTCACTAACTATGCTGAGGGTCTCAACCTGAATAGAAGGTAACATGCAATACGCACCTGAGTGGGCATGACTACCTAAGCCTAACAGGGTATACCTCAACCAACATAGCTAGCTATGTATCCTACTGCATATACGCACCCTAACCGTCGACTATAAGACTCGAGCTCAAATCGCGGTACCATAATTTATATATATAAATTCCCATCCAAACCAATGTAGTGCCGCTCAACCGATTCATTGCCATGACACGACATAAAATTAGGATTTAAATGTTTTAGTTAAAACCCTATTCATCTTAACGCACAAATTAATGCATCTTAGGGCTTTAATGCTCCATGAATTAGTGTTTAAAATCATCACAGTAGCCCAGACATTGTTCAAAAACCCACAGTTGGACCAAACAAGGCGCAACTACTTCAGTGTACGCACAAAAAGAAAGAGCCTGCTCCCAAAACAAGTGGAGCAGGTTCCACTTTGCCTAGAGCCGGCTCTCCCACAAGGGGGAGCCGGCTCTCCTTGCCTAGAGCCGGCTCTCTCCATGGGAGAGCCGGCTCTCTCCCCTTTGAGAGCCCCAGTTTGTTCCTTCGCCGTCTCCGACGATCTGCTCCATCTCTGACCCTTTCCTACCTCTCTGTTGCTTCTTAAATCTGGTCTTAAGAGTCCTAGAAACATCCAACAACAACCCTATGCCTTGTTCACAATAGTTCAATTCAAATACAGTATTTTAAACCTTAACCGATTAAACATGCTTCCACTCCAAACTAGAAACTAGAGGTACAAGAACTAAAACAGATTACTTCCACATATACAGACATCTGATTTAGCATATAACAAGCATGTATAAATTAACTAATGATCAATTAAAACCCTAGAGACAGTCTAAGGATGCACAGAACACAGGCAACGGGAGAGAGAAAGGAAAGAACTTGCCTTAACCGTCTCTGAATTTTCCGATGAAATCTCCGACGACCGTTCCACCTCTGTTGCTCTTGGTTTTACCCACAAGCCAACCTCTGCTCCTCCTCCTCCTTGGTTCAGCCCTAGCCTAAGGCAAAACCCTAGACTTTCTCCCTTTATCTCTCTCTGTAATTCCCTCTGTAACTCTCTCCGTTTTACCACCATTATGCTCACGTCTCTAAAACCCTAAACCACTGTAAAGCTTATATTTATAAGCTTATTACCGTAACCCTAGTCCATATCCAATTAAAGACTAAGCCCTAATTCCAACCCCAGTCGGCCCATAGAAACAAAACCACAGTTGTCATCTACGGCACCTACATACGTGACTTCCAAAAGACTGTAAATAAATAACGAAATAAAAACACTTATTTAACTTAATTACCCAATTATATATAAAAAAAAAACAATAATAAAGAAAAATTATAAAAACACTTAAGGACACACCTTCACACAAGTTAAATCCACTAATGTAATAAATGCAACTAATTCAAATAATGCCAATTAAATCCTTAAACACTAAGTCCATAAACACAATTAATGTAACTATAGAAAAGCAAAATCAAATTTAAATAAATTAATTAATTCAAACAAACACAAACAATAAAAAAAAATAATTCATTTAAGTAAAACAAAATAAACCACTATTCAATAAACAATTTGACACATAGAAACAAATTTAAATTCCAATCTTATCCTTTTGAAAACTAGGGTTATTACATTCCACTTACAAGAATTCGGAATGATAGAACTTTTAGGTTTGTTGCGACCATCATGGACAATCTTCCTTCGCCCAATGGGAGATGAGGTGATGCCTATGGAGGTCCATGTTCATCTACATGGGCTGGTTTGCTAAGGAGCCAAATTATAGAACTCTCTTTTTCCTTCTCCTGGGGGAGGGGAACTATTCTGAGCCATGTCAGTTAAAACTTAAAACTGTTGTATGATTTATGGATTTATTTTAGGGAGGTCATCAATCTGCTAAAGGGAGTTCAACTTCCCAACCATCTGGGCTCTCTCTGTCTTTCATTTGTATTGCTTTCTCCTTTAGTACACTATTGTTTCTTATACAAATTATCTCTCTGTGAGAGAGTATTAAAAAAAAAAAAAAAAATTGACGTGTTCACATCTTGATGAATTGTGATTTATTGAGCCACACAGCATAAATCGGTTATAATTTTTAACTGACAAGGAATGGAATATCCAGCATGGCAAATTAAAATACAGAAATGAAGCCCATCGAGAATAACAACTATTTTAACGTGAAGTAGACACATCAATTGTATCAATTATATGTTCATGGCACTGAGAATTGTGACTACATATTAGTAGACATAACAACATTGTGTAGACATTCTAAAAATATAAACAATTAGTTGAAATACCAAGGAAAAATGGATGTGGATGAATATATTTAAAGCTTCAGTAAATATTTAAAACTCTTCGTGTGGCTTGTCATTTGATTTTCATTTGATGTAGTTTTCCATGTTTAAATCATCTCCCTGAGTTAATATATGCATCCTTTAGGGTGGCTCTGCAGTTTGTACATGAGATGCAACATAAAGCACAGAAGAATTTTGATGCAAGTAGGGATAGATCGTTACCTGTATTTGGTGTTGGGGTTGCTTTTATTGATGAAAGTGCCATTATTTCAGTCCCTTCTCATGAATATGAAAAGGCAATTGAAGACATGAAACTGATTGTGTCAAATTTAGATCCACCAAAAAAAGAATTCCATGTTTCAGCAATTGGAAGTGTCTACTCTTCGTGCCCCAGTGATGGAAGGGATAGGTTGAAAGAGTTACTAGATGCTGTTAGTGACATCACTGGAAAAGAAGATCTTCTGCTGCATCTGCGTATGTTGTGCTTGCAAAAGGTTCAACTCTATAGATTGTCATTTAATTGCAAGCATGAAACAAGGGAAGGTAAACTTATTTATGCAGCACATTGGTTTTACTGTGCAGATTGCTCTTGAACGTGGATACACCAAACTTGTGTTAGGATCATGCACATCGAGGATAGCTTGTCATGTCATCACAGCAACTGTTAAGGTTTGTCTATGTTATTGTTTTCTGTAGTATTTCAATAATTAAATCTGCTTTGAACTTTGTTTTGCTTTGTAGATTGAATGATTTGGTGGTTGATACATCAATTGTGCTTAATAGAAATCAGTACATATCTATGTTAGTGCTAAGATAAAGCTCTATTGGCCTAGGCATATGGGAGTAAGATGTGGGGACCACCATAGAAAATAACAGGTGTAAATTGTTATGTACTTGTGGCAACATGGTAACTATACTGACTCAGGTTTGAGTTGATTCCATTCACACTATGGAATGATAGATCTGATCTGTTAATGGAATTGAGTTGATTAAATAATCAAAGCTGCGTGACAGTTATATATAGGAACAAATATCACCATCAGGAATTAAGATGGAATACTACTACATACGTTGACAAGTAACTTCCTGTTAAGAGACTGAAAGAAGGTAATTATGAATCTTTAACTGAAAGTCAGGTAATTATGGATCTTTATCAACACTATGGATCTGGGTTTTAATTTCATTATCTTCTTGTTTTTTATTACCTATTGCGTTGACTACCTATCAAGTATGCTTCTTCAAATGGTTGAGAAAAGAAAATTTTATTATTTTGTACCAGAAGAACAGCTAAAGGAATAAAGAACTCATTTTATGGAGAGAATTATTCAGGCTGTGTCAAACAAATTGGTTTGTACACCCAAATTGAATTTGGATGGAAAGTGAGAATAACTTTGTTCGGTTAAGTGATGTCTTCTCTCGTGAGAACTTCTTTCTTTTGGTGCATGGACTTTTTATGTTTTTTATTAGATTACTAAGGATTCATTAATTGTTTAAATTTTGTTCATCCATCTTGAAAAGATATATGTAACAGAGAAAAGTTAACAATCAATTAGTAATTTAGAAATGTTAATGACGAAAGGCACCGCGTGCTTTTGTAATTTTATTCTATTTTTTCAGGGCCAGGGTTACTCTTTAGCGGCAGATATACAATATGTTGATGCAAGGTGGGAGATACCAGTGTTGCTTCCCTTGCGTGATTGTCTTGTACAAGAACTCAACATGCTTTGTTACCTTGACAGGTTTGCCATGAACTCATCTCTGACATTGCCCTCTAATTCATTCATATTTCATGTCTAAATAAATGAATGGTGTTTCTGTATACTCATGTCTGCAAAATGATTTTTTGTTGAGAATATTAATAGAATCATCAATACTGTGACCCCATGATGGGACTGATCTTGGCTGGACAGGTTAAAGACTGTGGAGGCTTTTAATGGATCTCGTTCTGGCATCAATGGCTTGGTCTCATCGTTTGTAACATTATTGCAGGTAAGAAGCATATGAGGCATGCCTTTTGTTCCATTAGCTGACTTAACTATCTTCTCAGGGTATGTAAACAAGCAAAATATTGGAAGAATGACTTCCAGTACCCATAAGAGTTTCCTTGTGCAAATAACTCGGAATTTTTTTTGATGTGACTGAAGAGTAAGCGATTAGCTTAAGGGTAATGTGTATTTGATTTTTAAAAGAGTAGGTATTCCTATATTATTCAAGAAGAAACACCTTGTTTTAGAGATTTAAAACGAAATATCTTGCTGAAGTTACTTCCAATTTGCTTGGAAATGACATTCAATTTACTTGAAAAGAAAAACCCATAATGGTTAATCTACCTTGGAGTTGGTTACAGACACAACAAAACACGATGTTGTAATTTTTAGTATTACTTTTGTGTTTCAGGAAGAAAATCCTTCTAGAGAATGCACAATCGTAAGGACAGCTGGAAAGCTTACTCCATTCCATTTTAATAAAATTCCAGACATTGATGACTCTAGTGTTCATTTGGCATCTCAAAGGCGTCAGAAGAAATTCAATCTGAAGCCTTGTGAATCTCTTCCCCCGGAGTCATTCTGCCATATCTGCAATAGTCCACTCAGCGAATCCGACTTGAGAAGTTTAAGCAGTTTTGAGAACTGCCAAACAAGTGCTAAAATTTTTGAGGTTACATGCTGTCCAAGTTGCCAGTTTCAGATATTTCCCAAGGAGCCTGCATCTGTGGATCATTTTTATTCGCTCTTACCACAGCCGATCATTGCCCGGGCAAAGAATGGCAGCTTGGGGAACCAGAGATGGTTAAGGTGAGAGATTAAATATATTTTTAGCATGTGATGCATGAATGATTTGGTGTTCTTTCTAACCCAAGTCCAAGCATCCTTGAACACCTTGTTTCTGACACACAAGGCTTGCAACTGGAAGATCGTTTCCAACCTTTAATAGGGATTAAATTATTAAAGGCTTAAGTGCAAAAAAAACACCTCTCTTAGATTCAAATGGTGCAAAAAACTCCCTATTAGATATTTTGGTGCACAAAACCCCCTGCTATTTGTCTTGGTGCAACTTGCCCCCTAATAATAATCTATTTTGACCAAAATTTTTAATGAAAATTCCAAAATTACCCATTCCGCAGGCAGCCACCACCACAACTACCTCTTCTCTCCTCTCTCTTTCCCTTTCTCCACTGGCATGAAATTCACAGCCAATACCTCATCGGGTTCGACTGGAAAACTCGCTTTAGCTCCTCGATGGGTGTAAGAACCGGAACGAACTTGAAATCCAAACCCAGAAGCTTTGTGAATTTGTGGAGCCGATTGCCGGCGGAGAAAGGGAAAGAGAGAGGAGAGAATTAAAATCCTACACTGTCAAATCATGGAGCCAATTTGGTTCAAGCTTTGCGAATTTGTGGAGCCGATTGGACAGTGTAGGATTTTAATTCGGAGCAAAATTTGGCAATGTCAACCATTTCAGTTGTGGTTTTGAACATCCAGCATCCTTTAACCTTCAAACAATGCAATATATGGTCAATATGTTGTGGTTTAAAGGGCTCAAGCTTTGTATAATCAGTGTCAAAACCATTGATGGAAGTTTAGAAGTTAAAGGGTGAGATTCTGTGGAATTGAGGGTAGTATACTGGTGTGCTGGATGAAGTCACACACACATTCAAAAGTGAAAGGAACCACTAGAGTTAACAATCAGCAGGTGATTTTTGAGCTTAAGCACCGAGTGGTTCTTGCATTAAACAAGCTTGATGATAGGGATACTTACCAGATTGGGGTTGAGGAGCTTGAAAAACCATTGAATGTCTAACTCCAGATGGGGTGGCTCCATTTCTGTCTTGCATTTTAGATACTGATTCGGAGCACAAGAGTGCAGTTCGTAAGGAATGTATCAGACTGATGGGTACACTAGCTACTTTGCATTAAGCCAGCATTGTTAAGCAGCTTAAGGATCCAGATTATGTCGTGAGGGATGCATGTGTGGAAACAATCAGTGTTTTGGCTTCTAAGTCGAGCATTAGCGAGGGTGAATGTGAAGCAGACAATTAAAATTCTACAATGTCAAATGGGCTACACTGTGAATTTCATGCCAGTGGAGAAAGGGAAAGAGAGAGGAGAGAAGATGAAGTTGTGGTGGTGATTGACTGTGGAAAGGGTAATTTGGAATTTTAATTAAAAAAAAATTGGTCAAAATGGATTATTAGGGGGCAACTTGCACCAAGACAAATAGCAGGGAATTTTGTGCACCAAAAAATCTAATAGGGGGTTTTTTGCACAATTTGAATCTAAGAGGGGTGTTTTTTGCACTTGAGCCATTATTAAAAGAGAACAGTTCAGAAATGAAATGGTTGAAGAAAATATGATTCGGACCTAAATTATCTTTCATCTTTTGAGCTCTGGAGAATATTTAGGCAGGTTGACCAAATTTTCAGCAATCATGATGGCATAGTTTTGACTCGCACAGCAGCTGAACATAGAACCATGGTCCAATAATGGCTTTTAAGGAACTGTTCTTGTCTCAGTGGCAGATTTTCCAATATCACTATCAAACGTTTGTTGGATTGCTTGTTTATATTTTTTAACTTTGCTTTTAGGGAACAAATACAAGATTGCCTGCTTTCAGACAGTGAAGACGGAACTTAAGCCTACTATTTCAGTCTTCAAAACTTTTTCCCCTGTTAATCATTAGTTGCTGACCTGTTCTAAGCATTGAGTCTGCACATTCTCGAATGGATGGCTTTGGAAGTGGCAATGACCTGCGGCAACCGGGCAAGATAATTGGAAAGCTAGAAGGGACGCACACCTCAGATTTCAGGAAACAGTGATCAACCTGAAATTGTTCAATTAAGTTGCTGCTGCTGCGGTGGTGTCTCGTCTGTAAAGACATGAAAGTTTGATGCCTGATCAATTCATAGCTTTTGGTGACATTAATCAATTGTTTAAAATCACACCCTGAAAGGAATGCCTATCTATTATACTGGGAGCTATATATTTCCAGAAACATTAGCATCTTTAAAATAGTACTGTTTATTCAGGTGGGTGATTCTTATTTTTTGGCAGCTTGTTGTTCAAATTCTGGACTTGGATTGATCACTGGATGAATGTGAGGAATTTGAATATATGTGACACTTGGGTTGCTACAGGTACAACAAAGGAGTTATTGTGATTATGAACAATGAAAATGGATCTGTTTAACGCCCTTGTGCAAAACAAATTACTGGGAGTGAGAGTGCCTTCTTTCTTATCACTCTTACAGAATTTCAATGTACCTATTTTAATTTTTCCATCAAGGGGACACCCTCGTGCAAAATAAATGCGTTCTTTTTATCACTCTAAAAAGGAAAGTTTATTAGGCTCGATGAAAATTTACTCCAGTCGGGTCTGTTTATTTAACTTTTTTAAAATGGTTTTTTTTTTAAGAATAAACTTTGATATGCTAGTATATAACTGTAATTTTATTTTCACTCGTGTTCATAATATTTTGATTTATTATTTGAAAATAAATTTTTGAGCGTACCTGAATGGTCGCTTTCTAGTTTCTCTCTGCGCATTGCTTCCCCATGGAACTAGAGCTCCCAATACACATCGACCTCACTGATCCCACCACCTCCACCGAAAGGGACGACCGTCGTTCTGACATCCGGCGGAGAATTTGCAGCAACGGCTGTGACAGACCAATAAATGTGTGCCTCTGCGACACCATCCCTACCGAACCTATCTTAACCTGCACACAAATCGTTATCCTGCAACACCCCCACGAGCGTCATCACAAGCTCGCCACCGTCCCAGTTCTAGCCAAGTGCCTCCGCAACTGCCAAATAGTAATTGGCCGTCGGCTTCGCTGCGGCGACTCTCCTCTCCTCGATTCTCTCTACAATGCTGCCCTTGAAAACCCTAACATACCGTTTCGAGCCATCTATCTCTTCCCAGGTATGGACTCCTTTTCGCCTGTCATCAACATCAATAACTTGAATGGTCTGCCGTTTGATTGGCTTTAATAATATTGCACTGATCTTGTCAGTCGGTAAAGAATTTCAATTGGGCTGTTGGGCTGTGGATTGAAAAGTAAGTTCATTTGCTGTAATGTGATAAATTTGGTTGGAAATTCACTTACTAATTCGGCCGACAAATTAAAGAAATAAAAAAATTGTACGTTAGATGGCAACTGAAATTTTGGTATATCATTGGAGGTTGGATGGAAATGTTATGCTTATGGAATTCTTTAGAAATTGTTTTCGCATTGGCACAATGCTAATGGTTTATGCCTTCTTTCACTGTATGAAATAAAATTTCCGTTATCTTCACTCTAAAATGAATTAGGAGTGTACCTTGAAATTGCCAGTATTTTTTATTTTATTTTTTCGTAAGTCTGTAAAATGAAATTGCTAGTAAATTCTTTCCATCAATATATGTGGAGGAATTGGTGAAATCCTCAGCTCAACCTGATAATTGCAGCTATTTCATTCCATCAATATATGTGGATTCTTTGGACTTTATAACGTGCTCCAATTTTCGTGGAGATAAATTGCATGTGCGAATCAGATGGGTAAAACGCCTAAATTTAATAGAGGGGTTTGTTACCTTGAAGTTTTGGGTTCATATCAAGCATGGGTAAGGACAAGGCACGAGATGATGAATCATAAAAATATGTAATCACTCGTGTTGCTTAGATAAAGACATATTTAGAACTACCAATATGCTCTAGCCTAGATGGTATGAACTTTCCCTCTCCAAAGGAAGGTTGGGTGTCTGAGTCTCGGTGGGGACAAAATATGGTTGTGTATGTGTGTTTACTACCATTCGAAAAAAAAAAAGGACACATCATTTATGTGTCAAATGGCGTTTGACAAGTTGAAGACTTTTTAAGTCCGCCGTCAAATCTGGACAGGCGGTGGAAACTACCAAGCTGGAGTACGATCAACTGATTCCTACTTCAAGCATTGGATTTCCTGTCTCAATTAAAAGGGCACATTGGGAGCATAGATAATTGTAACCATATAAATATAAAATGATATCCCGTCTTTTTCTTAGTTGTGCTACTAGAGGCTCTGGGGAAGTCGGAGCGAGGTGGTGGGTTAGAAGGTCCTTCATCAAAGGGTTGAGGAATACTAGCAAGGGTAAAGGATTCATCACTTGCTAGACTTTCAGGGAATAATTGGAGGGGTTGTGCAGGGGTTGGAAGATTCTTGTAGAAATCATACTAGCACCCGCTTGCACCATCTTCTTCTTGTTGTTGTTCCTATTTCAATGTGGAATGAGAATAATCCAGTGTCTAACGGTGCATATGTAGACATGTAATGTATACAAGATTATGTTAATTCCCCTCCTCTTTCATGCCCATTCCTTGACAGGACCAGGACCTTTGTATCTACTTTATTTTTAGTTATGTTCAAATTTCTAATAACATGTCTCTTTTTCAGGTACAGATTCATCATCTTCAATGGAAATAAGTAAGTGGAGATCTTCACTCAATGATCCTTACTTGAGCAACTACGTTTTGATTGCTTTTGATGGGACTTGGAAGCATGCAAAGGAGATGGTACATGCAAGTCTACACTTTGTATCTAAGTTTGCTTTTCGGGTTTGTTTAAACTATGATGTTGATATAGATGGTGGGACAATTTTTGATTCAGAACTAATTCTGAGGAAGGAACCATTTAGTGGGTGTATGAGTACAATGGAAGCTATTGCACGAACTTTGCAGGTTCTCGAGCCTAATGGTGGGGAGATTGAGGATAGGTTGGTTGAGGTTTTAAGAGCTATGGTGGGCTTTCAAGCTTATTATTTGAAGCCCATGAAGCCAAGGCCGAAGTCATTGAAGAAAGGCAAGGGGGTTGAAATGAAGACTTAGAGCACTGAGCTGCATGGTTAGTGATTTGAATTCAACAGGTGTCCAGTTTCTTTCATATATTTTGGATTTGACTTCGATGTTATAGTAATATCTTTTCAATAGGTTTATATTCAGGAGTAGTGATTCATGCTCTTCCTTGGATAATTTTGTCTTACTACATGCATAAGTGACCATACTTTGATTCATCAAAGATGAAATCTCTGATTTTAGGGACGGATTGTATAAGACTGAAAATACATTTATCGATGGCTATGGGTTTATTAATTCTTTTTACAAGTTTGAGTTTGACACATTATGTTTAGTAACTCCAAGTGCCTTATAAAGTTATAAACTAAAAGGAAAATTTTATAGAACATATTTTACCCTTTAAGACCAACTATCTTATATGGCCCAGAGTGTTGGGCTTTAAAAAAGAAACAAGAATAACGAATTCATGTAGTGGAAATGCGGATGTTAAGATGGATGATAGGAGTCTCTAGAAGAGATAGGGTTACAAACCAACATGTGAGGGAGAAATTAGGTGTGGCACCTATTAGTGGTAAGATTAGACAGAGTAGACTTAGTGGTATGGACACATACACTAAAGACCTATAATGCACCGGTGAGAAGAGGAAGGTTAATTTGCATAGAGGGTAGGAGGTGGAGAGGGCGTCCGAAATTAACATTGGATGAAATCTTTAGAGGTGATTTTAAAAAGTTAAATATTATAGCAGAAATGAGCTGTAATAGAAAAAAATGGAAAAAGAGAATTCATGCTACCGACCCCATTCATATGGGATTAAGGTAAGGATGATGATGATGTTTAGTTATACTTACATATTATTGTCTTTGTTGCCATTCTAATATAATTTGTGAAATACCATGTAATGAAGGATTAGGACATATAGAAATTGGCTGTCATTTAGATGTAAATTGAGAAGGCCAGATTTCAATTGCTGATATTCTGTAATGTGCTAATTTAGCTAAGGCTTAGTTAATGGGTCATAAGAGTTATTGAGGGGATAAAGGCCAGAGTTCGATTGTCTGGCAAGTTGTTGATAAAGCCTCCTCCTAGACAAAAAGTTAAGGAGATTCTACTGTTAGAAGCTGACCAAGACAGTGGCAACAATGAATAATTGTTGGTGTAATGATGGCTGTGCGCTATCAAAATTGACTAGCAGTTATACCAAAATCTCAAAGGATGTTCGTGAACTTGGGTTGGGGAGGAGCCTCATTCTTATCCATACAAAATAGCGTGGGAGAAGAACCCCAATCTTAAAGTTCATCAGAGTTGTTTGATGACTCGTTCCATTGGAGGATTAGTTGATACTGTGGAATAGTTTTTGAAGCAATTTTTCACAATCAAACTGAATTACCCATTGACCTGATGTTATAAATTATGGGATGGAAAAGTCTAATATTTGTTGAATCATGCTGTTTCTTATTTTTATGGTTGAAGCTTTGGTGTTTCCTGTTGGGGTTAGTGAAAGGTTCAGTCTGCTGATGTTTGGTTGTGAGTAGTGACATGAGCCAAAGGACTTGGAATACCCTGTCAAGCTGGCCTGGTTGCTTAGTTTTGAAGTGGTTTGGGATTAAGCATACATTCGCTGGGTGTGGATTCTGTTCCGCATTGCACCTCTTAGTTCTTGATTGGTGATGAACCAACTAGAGAGTGTCAAACAAGAGGATTCAGACATTGGACTGATATTTCTTTGGAACCTCCATGAAATGGATTTGTGAATTCCCAAAGTGGCTTCCAGGTAATGGCTAATGCAGGATCTCCATTCGAACTGCATATGCTGGATTTTAATCCGTCTTTGGTGGATCCTTTTAGTAATCACCTAGTATGTAGTAGTTGATATGATCATTGTAAATTTAATATTCTTAGTAGGTCTTTTCCTCCTTTTGGGCTAGACTGGGTTCTTCACTAGTGGTGTTAGTGGGTAAGAATACCAAATTTTCTTGTTATGTCAATCACTAAACTTTACGGGCCTCTATGCCGATCTGGTGGTTTGGATGGCAGAACACTGGCGAATGACCTTTTACAGAAACAGTCTAGTCTTGCGGCATGACTAGGCTCTTATATTGACTGACACGTCACATTCTATTAATACCTTGTAGCAATTTCAGTATTGAAGGTTTTGCCCAGAAGCATATGCTAACTACTCTGTTATGTGGGCTGAGTGAGAAGTGTCATGAGATGCCTCAAATGATAGTGATATAAGTGGTTTTGGGGTATCAAAACATGTGATCTGGGGGATCAGTGTTCATCTGCAGAATGTCATAATAAATTTTACAGGTAAACCTTAAATTTCTGAGACACGGTTCTGAAAGACATTTTAGGTCGGTGCTTCTATTTCTGAATTTTCTTCCAAGCACACTGTGGGTTATTATTTATTTTAGAGGTTTCAGCACTTCACTCCTATGCAGCTATTTACTAACGGAGGGCGGTAGCATGGCTTTTATGAATTTATTTCTTTCCTTTTTTCATTTCTGTTCTTAATGTAATTGCTAAAACTAACCAGTAGGTAAGACTTAGCAGGCGAATTATGTGGGGGGAACCGAAAGAGTCCTTCCTCCACTTTTTTGGCTGAACAGTCTGATAGAAGTCATTCCTTCATCTACTTTTTTGGCTGAACCATCTGATAGAAGTCATTCTTTATTCGCTTCTGAACTATCCGAGTCTATAATTTGTTGCTGTGCATTAATTATTTTACCTTGAACCCTACCTTGTAGATAGGTACTGATCTTTATTTCTTATGAAGACAGCATTCATTTTCTCATTATTTGGCAAATTAAATGTACTTGGCAAGGTTTGCATTTACTAAGTTGAATGTGGTTGTGATGGATAAATAATACAACAATTGTGATTGGCTCTTGTTTTTCAGTGGAATTGGAGGCCTGTTTCTTTCTTGGTAGGCACATTGTGGAGCCTTCAGTTTGCTTGATCTTTTTCTCTTGTCAAAAAGCATGAAATACATACAGGACAAGCCCTTTTTATCCATACCATGACTTATATTGACTTGTCAGTTGTCCCTGCCTACTTCTACCACCTCAGCAAGTTGCATATATGGGAAGAACAACTTGCCTTCATTTTTCTAAACATTTGCTTACTATTATCCAAGCTGCTGGTCTCATAATAATGGATCAATAGGGTAAATGAAAGTAGAAACCAATATATATATATATAGAGATATATATATATTGGGGGGTAAGTAATACATTTGTAAATGTCATCATCCAGATACCAACTTACTTTTTAGAGTGTGAATGGTTATTATTTCAATTGGTAAAAGTTAGGTGTTCTTGTGATGGTGGGTGGTGGAAGGGTATGAGTGGGAAAAGGGTGTTGTTTTGGTGCAATAGATGTCTTAAATGGCCTGAAGGAAGTACACTTCTTAGAGGACCTAGTGGAAATAATAGAGTTGTTTAAAGGGTCCGTTTGGCTCGAAAAGCAAACTTTTTCTTTTTTTTTCTTTTTTCTTTTTCGGAATGGGGGGTGTTTCATAAGGAAGGAGATTCAAGACTTAAATATATTTTGTTCCGATGAGCGAAATTAAAAACTTATTTTTTAAAATTTTGCAAGAGAAAATTAATAACTTAGACATGCCAACCCCACAGTTATTAAAATATCTCTTCTTCTTCTTCTTCTTCTTCTTCTTTTCTCTCTTTTCCATTTCTTTTTGTTGATATTCTAACTTCCGTTACAAAGGTCGGTTTCAGTCTCCTAATTTGCCCTCCTCTGACCCTGGTTTTAGCGTTTTGCCACCGGCCAAGCCGTCCCACTTTTGACATGGTTATTTCACGCCAATTGGAGTTGGTAACCACAAAATCATTTTGACATGGAAGGCATTTATGTCACCATTGTAGAGTTCATCAAAATTCAATAGAACTCAACAATAACTGGTGAAACTTAATTTATACTTATTAACCGATTTCAAAATAGCAAAAATTCTTATAAAAAGATTTTCTATGTTTTGAGAGTACTAAATTTTTAATTTCAAATTAAAAGCGTTCAAACGTAACATTAACCATGTCAGAATTGAAAAATATTTTATTTAATCAAATGATTATATTTAATTAGGCAATGTGTGGATCTCTTCGATTCTTGGTGGTCCGAAATGCCTCTCCAACTTCGCATGTAGCCCCATAACTATAAAGGGACGAACCAAATGCACACATCTTTCTTGTCACAACCCACATGATATGTCTTATGGTGGCTTTTAAAGCTGTCAAACAAAAGCAAATGGTTTGAAAAGGAAAAGTTCTTTCAGATTGCATTAGGCCACAAATATTATATAATAAGGTATGGAAGCCTACAGAAGTATTAGTTTAATATCAGCTTTCAATCAAACATATATTCATGGAAAATTATGCAGAGGAATGATTGGACATCATGAAAAAATGTTGGGTTATATTATTTGAAGCAACATAGGAATATTATTTTTGCTTAGGCCTTGTTTGGTTAGTTCACGAATTATAAAGTTTTTGTTGTGTTTAGAAAAACATATCACAATATTGATAATACACCACACACATACTTCCATTACTCCTATTAGAAATTGAACCCGTGGACTAAGCCCTTTGTTCTTGACTATCACAATTTTAGACATCACTTACCTATTTGCAAATACAATAATATGATGTTAATATTAAATTCCCTTTATATGTATTTATTGTTTAAATGCTTATGAGTTTCTTATATCACAAATCCACTTTTATCGCCCCAACGATTTACTCTCTGGACTTTAGAGCTTAGTAAGTCTAACATTTAGGGTTCGAGTCTCGCTAAGTATTCTTTGTGGCTAGCCTCCGTTATCCCTACAGTGACTTACCCGATTCAGGTGGGAAGGTGCCTTTTCGGGTCCTCGGAAAAAGGATGGCTGCCTTCCTAGCAGGGGTGGAGTTAGGATTTCAATTCAAAGGGGGCACAGTTTAAAATAAAAATAAAAAATCAACTAACATTGATATAACCCATGTCTTAATTGGCTCCTCCCTTACAGAAGAGAAATGAAAGAATGGAAAGATGAGTTCCTAGACAACCCGGGTTAACTAAAAAAAAAAACCGTAGCGTATATCACAAGTTCAAAATTTTCTTTTTAATAATACTTACGTTCTCATTGGTGAGAATCTAAATCATTTCACAGTTGATGTGAATCAATAATAAATGAACACGTCATTTTTAGTTACCAAATTCAATATGGTAAGTAGATAACCACTTACCAAATTAGATATGATAATTTTATTATTATTTAATAATTAAAATAAAATGTATCCATTTATTAATATTCACGTAAGCCGTCACTAGTGTAGTTTTCTTTTTCTTTCTTTTTTTCATTTGTTAATAAATTCGATAAGATGTTAATGAAACATATTAGAAAGTCAAAGATAACGATAAACAGAAAAGATAAGGAAGAACGAAAATAAATGCTTCCCTCCCCATGTTAACATCATGAGAATGACCATAGTTTGACCAGTCTTGCTATGTGTTTTTTTTTTTTTTTTTTTGGTAATCTTCATTTGACCCCTGAGATATGTTTATAAAGACTCGCTCTTACTTTAGTTACTAATTTAAATCTTTCCTGGATCCGAATTTCATAAAATAAATTTTACATCCTTTTAATTTCAAACCCTTGTAAAATTCAATTTTCAAAATAAATTTAATTAAAAAAATAGTGACTAATTTAAACTTGTCCTTAGTCGATCCAAATTTGATAAAATCATAAATTTAAATCCTTTCAATTCTTAAGAGTATTTCTAACATTTGTTAAAATACTCTTTTGTATAAAATATACACTATATAATATGTATAAATATAATTTTCAAAAATAAAAAATTAATGACTAATTTAAACCTTTCCGCCATCCTAATTTGATGAAATCATAAATTTAAATCATTTCAATTCCTAAGAGCATCTCCAACATTTGTTAAAATACTCTTTTGTGTAAAATATACACTATATAATATGTATACATATAATTTTCAAAAATAAAAAATTAATGACTAATTTAAACCTTTCCGTAGTCGATCCTAATTTGATGAAATCATAAATTTAAATCATTTCAATTCCTTTTCTTTGTAAAATTTAATTTCCAAAAATAAAAAAATTATTGACTAATTTAAACCTTTAATCAATCGATCCTAATTTGATAAAATCAGAAATTTAAATCCTTTCAATTCCTAACCTTTGTAAACTTTAATTCCCAAAATAAATTTAATTTTCAAAAATAAAAATTTAGTGACAAATTTAAACCTTTCCTTAAGGGATCCTAATTTGATAAAATCAGATATTTAAATCATTTCAGTTCCTAATCTTTGTAAAATTTAATTTCCACAAAAATTTAAATTTCCAAAAACAAAAAAATTAGTAGACTAATTTAATTTCCAAACCTTTACCTGGCGAATGGCGATCAATGTGAGACTAGTGTTTTATTCTTGAGTAAAATGACAGCGAGGGTAGATTGGTCATTTTGTTCTCTCAATTGACATAATCAATGACAATATCTGACAAGCGATCGGACTGAAATTATGCAAATTCGATAGGGCTTATTGATATATAGACATACCTCAGGTACAAATGAAGATTACCCTATCACTGCCACCTTTCATCTGATGGTTTTCTGAACTTTTCTCTTTATTTTTCTACATTATTTAAAAAAGAAAATATAGTAGTATTTTTCTACATAATAACCTGTAATATATATCCAGAAAACTGCGAAGCTAGTTGACATAGAATAGTATGATCTCAATTCTTTAAGAAAGGACAACATTCTTTGTTGGTCGGTCCTAATACCCCACCTGATGTCCAAACAACCTCTCTCTCAATCTCTCTCTCTCTATATAAATGTATATATTCTTATATATATATTATACAGATATATAGATGTCTCTCATGACATCAATGTATGCCCGTCACGTTCTCTCAGCCAACAAGGTGGTGGAAGGCCTTGACCCACAATGAATTACACAGAGTTTTACTTTAATTGGATGAGCAAGTGCCTTGAAGACCAATAAAATTAGTTAACGTATAGAAGCGGGAGGACTCAATATGCCCACGGTCCCCGGAAAATGGCTCAAGTTCTGTACTAGTATGAATTTATTTTTTATTTTTGAGAAATGGATATATAAAATAAATAAATAAATCTATATAGTATATACATTTATATATATTGTGTGTATAATAGAGTTTAGATGTATTGGAAAATGATAATTGCACTCCATTTTGTATTAATGCATTTTTCTTCGTTGTAAATTAAATGACGTAAATGTCTTTTTTTCCTTTCTCTTTTTGTTTTGAAAAAATATGCACTTCATTTAGAAAATGATAAATGCTCTCTATTTTTATGAATTGATAATAATGTCATTTCACGTTAAAAATGAAATATATTCATAAAAAAGTAAAATACATTAATCACCTTTTGTAAATTTTGTAAGAATAAATGACATGTTCATTATGAAATGAAAGCTACTGGTGTCGTTGTATTGGTGAGTGGGTAAGGTGGAAAGAAGATTTATAGTCAGTTTAATTACTCTTGGAAACTCCTCGTCTCAAGAGAAAAAATTTCATACTCTAATATAAAAAATAATCCCAAATATGACTCTTTGAGTAATTTTTTTTGTAAATAGAGCTCAAATAGGCTCCACACATCTGTTCTGTTTTGTACTATACTTATTTTCGTGCTCGTGGCTCTAAATGATAAGTACCAAATTAATTTAAAATTTTCATACTCTAGCATTAAAAATAATCCAAAATACTACTCTTTAATAATTATTTTTTGTAAATAGAGCTCAAATAGGCTCCACACATCTGTTCTGTTCTGTACTATGCTTATTTTCGTGCTCATGGCTCTAAATGGTAAGTACCAAATTAATTTAAAATTTTCATACTCTAACATTAAAAATAATCTAAAATATGACTCTTTACATCTCATAACAATGATTAAGATGAATAATAATAAATTAATAATATAAGTCAGGATGGTAGGCTCGTGTAGTACTCTAAAAGTAAATTTTTAATACAGAAAATATTTTAATATAAGAAAGAAAGAAAAAATAACAAAATTTACAATTATAAAATTCAAACTCTTATATAACTTAATAACTGGAATTCAATTCTGTCAATATATCTTTGTTTCGTTTGGGAGACCATTAATGATCTATTTATGGTGAATAAGACCCTTAATTTATATAATTCATTTCAATTTTTAATGATTGTATTTTGATTTAGTATTTTTTTATTAAAGTTAAATTTGAAAGAGATACCCAACACAAATAGAGTAGTTGAACGATATATAAAGTGCGAGAAAATATATAGTAATTGATAACGAGAGACTGTCTTGGGATGTTCTCAGGAGACATTTTCAGAATTGGGAAATCGAGAATATTTCTCGTTTTTTGGAGTTATTGTATAGCCAGGTGTTTTCTTTTGGGGGATCGGATTGGTGGTTTTGGATTCCTACCTCGCATGGCCGTTTTGAGGTTAAGTCATTTTTCAGATGCCTTTCGGTTGGTCATAGAGATCCCTTCCCTTTGAAGTTTATTTGGCGGTCCAAGGCTCACTGCAAGGTCGCCTTTTTTGCTTAGACCTCTGTTATGGGTAAGATTTTAACTCAGAATAATTTGAGGAGGAGGAATCAGGTGGTGTTCATCACTGTTACATGTATTTGTATAATAAGGAGTATGTTGATCACCTCCTTTTACATTGCAGCATGGCCAGAGATTGTTGGGATTTGATGCTTCGTTTATTTGGGGTTCATTGAGCCATGCCTTTTTCCTCTAGAGGGTTGATTGAGGCTTTGAGAGACGTCTCTGTTGGGGCTGGCATTGGGGATGCTTGGAGGGTTACGCCGCTTTGTATCTAGTGGTGTATTTGGCTTGAGAGAAATAGGAAATATTTTGACGAGAAAAAGAAACATGTTTCCATGCTTAAATTCTATGTTATTTCTACTATTTTTTGTTGGGTTTCAGGGAGAGATTATAGATTTATGGAGGAAATTATTATTTTTTTGGCCTCTCTGAAGGTCTAAGGCGCTCTCTGGCCCTTGTGTTCCTTTTGTTTCTTTGGGCTTCGCTCCCCTTTTTGAGCGTTTTTAATAAAATCTTACTTATAAAAAAATAAAAAAAAAAATTCAATTGACAATTTGTTTAGTTTGTTAAAATAAGAAATACAAATGCATAAAAGAATAAAGTATAATATATTAAAATATATACGTTAATATCTTTTTAGTTATTAGCACACATTCAAGATCAAATCTAGGAGTTTTAATTCTAAATGTGTAGCACTGCTCAAAGGGTGTTATCTAGTGGCCTAGTGTTACAAGTGAGACTTGTTCCACATTAGATCCGGATGGGAAGTGAAATGGGTACATATGAGTTATGTGTTAGCCCCACCTAATAACTTAAGTTTTTTTTTGATAAATAGACAAGTTTTTACCTGGTATAGTTGATAGTAGAGTCCGACCTGGCCATTGTGAGTTCAAACTTGTCCTACATTAAACCCGAATGAGAAATGAAATAGATATATATGGGTTGGATGTTTATCTAATAGCTTAAATTTTCAAAAGCCCGAATTTGTTTTAAAAAATAGTAATTTTATTAAAATTTAAAAGATTTATTGGTGAAAGGACTTTTAAAAGATTTATTGGTGAAAGGACAATTTAGCGTGGTTAACTTTTTCTTAAAGAAAGTTGTTTTACTGCGACCAACCGTCACTGACCTTTTTTTTTCATGGTAAGTGACCAACGGTCAATAACAATTTCCTCTATCCTAACCACTCACAAGCAATTATCTCGAGGTAATAACTCCCAATAAAACCAATCTCACTCAATTTCCATCTGAAGTAATAAATATCTTCCAATATTAAGTTATAATTTCCATCAAAAAGCCGACATGGCCGGTGCCTTGCCACCGTCACCGGATCTTTGCCATATATTAACGCACCCTCTCTCTATTTATCTCCAACAAACTCAGCTAATATAACATACCCAAAATCTCCTCTCCTTCATCTTCCCCCATCTGACCCCACGCCTCCTTTTCTTTAAAGACTTTCTCTCTCTAAAACTCTCTTTCTTCTCTCAGTTCTGAATATACTCACAATTACAATTCTTTCCCCAAAACCTCAAAATCCTATAAAGGTAGAGAGAGAGAAACCATACAGTAATTATTCACTTGCTTTATAGTACCTCTCTCTTGCCAGCTTTTCATACTCTCCTCTCCACACCGTCTACTCTCTCTAAATCACATCTCATCATCAACATCTTCAGGAGAGAGAAAAAGAGATCTCAGAAGGTACGCCGATTCTTCTCTGCTCACCAATTTTGATTCACTTTGGGTGTTATTTGAATTTAATTCGTTGATCTAAGTTTAGATTGTCTGTCTTTTGTAAATCTTGTATGTTCTCTTTGTTATTAATCTAATGTGAGGGATGATCTGCGACTGGTTTTTAATATTGGGGCGGTTAAAATAACTCTTGATGGTTTGATCTCTGTTTCCTTCTATACGTTCTGATTAGGTTTATTTTGAAGTTATGAGTGATTGTTGAAATATTGTTTGGAATAGTAATGATTTGATCTGTAGTTGAATATGAGTAAGATCTTCATATTGAGCTAAGTTTTGTAAGATTAGTGATTTTGCAAATGTATTGTTAGCGTTCATGAAACTCTTTTGAAGGTTTTTTTATATTGTGTTGTTGTTATGATCAGCTGTGTCTGGTTCTCCCTCAAATGAGTCAGCACTCCAGATATTGGATGTGAATTGGAATAGGAATATTGGATCAGTTGGCAATCATCTAGTCACTGTGACATGTTTGGAGGTGCTATAGTAGTGGAAAGAAATAATAAAAAAGAGGCGCATCTGCCACATTTCTGTTGAAGCTTAATAGATTTGACTGGATGCTATGATCCACCCTGATTGGTCATTTTACCTTATTGTTAGGAAGAAAGAGTATGCAGGAATATGGAAAACAACCCAAGATTGGCATGATATGACAGTTAACATAAATTGGAGTGAAAGCAAACACAATTTGGGGGATCTTTCTGCATTGTTCTGGTGTTTGCCCAAGGTTTTGGGAGTCAGCAATTTTTATTTTTTATTTTTTATTTTTTTGCGTTTCGAAGTGGATAACATGTCATGAATTTGCAGGCTTCCAAAAAATGTAGCAATGAAACTTCATGACTATTTCTGAAAGATAATTGGCTTCTCTTCAATGACTCATAGGAGAGCAAGGAATGACATGGAAAATGATTTTCATGGACCTGCAAAATCTCCAGGGACCCTGCATTTGGATGATTGTACTAACTAGAAAAAGTTTATTTTGACTACTCGCCTACTCTTTTAGTATAACATGTCTGAGAATTCCAAGCTTTGTATGAATTACTTTGCTACTTATATGAATTATTGTACTAATATCACCTTAAGATTGAGTCTATTTGAGATAAACAAGGGAAGTAAGACAAACCTTGTATTGGGAGGACCCGGATATTTTTAAGGGAGGGAATAATGAAGAGAAATTGTTAATTACTAAATTCAGTTAGAGAATGTACTTGTCAAATTATAGGTATCGAATAGGGAATGGAATAGGTGCTTAAAATGTTACGTTGAAATTTGATATTAACCTATATTTGAATAGAGTTTTTCTCATGCTTTATCAATGCCCAAGCTATCAAGTGTCAAGACTGAAAAAGTGTGAGAGAATATGAGTGTATATCTATTTTTGGTCAGAGTTAGATCTATCTTTGGTCCATCCCTCCCAATACCTCCAATTGATAGGGCCAGCAGTTTGTAAAACTTTTTTTCCTTTCTCTCTCATTGGTGGAAAATATGAAAAGAAAGATGAGAAGTTTTTGAATACTGCAAATTCTCAAGTTCTGGTTTTGATAGATGAAGTGGGACATCTCAGCTAAGGTATACCATAGAAAATCATAAATGATGGAATTGCAAACATGAAATAGCACAAGCGCTTGGTGCAGTTTTATGTCAATTATGAACTTCTGTTGGTTTGTATACTGTTAAGCTATTGTTTTATATTTTGAAAAAAAAAAGAAAAAAAAGAGAGAGTATTTCACTGATGCAGAGAGACTAGATACCGATAACATAGTTAAGTTGCTCAGATGCAACAATTTGCATGGCTGTATTGGAAGAAACACAAAAATCCATATGAGAGGTTCAAACAACTTATTTTTTAAGAGTCCACTTAGAATTTATACCGGGCATTAAAATCTATAAATCTAGCAATTATATAACCACCAGATGATAGCTTGAGTGGTATCTGAAGCCCCCCAACGGGTAGGTGTTGAGTTATTTTCTTATATAGGGTTTATGTGTCTTATGAGAAAAATCTAGTAAAATTTATAGTTTAACAAGAGTAAAAATAATTTTTAAGTTTGAAATATTTGTCACAAGAGGAGCTACAGCCTTAGAAACACTTTGATTGCCTCTCACCTAAAAGTGGATATGTCAGTCAATGAAGGCAACAACAATGGCAACCTAATACAGTCAGTGATGGTAATAACAATTGTCAGGACATTTCTTTGAGCGCAGTGTAAAGCTCCCCTGCAAGCCCAGTGTTATCAAAGGCCCAAGGCGCACTAAGGTGCTAGGGGTCCTTTGGAGGCGAGGCGCACAATTGAAAAATTAAATTACTATTAAAGCATATTCATATTCATATTCAATATTAAAGGCGCAAATGTTGTCAAAGGTGCAACGGGGCACACAACAGGCACAAGTGTTGCGCCTATATGAGCCTGGAGCCTAGGCTCGCCTTTAACAACACTGTGCAAGCCTTGACCTGAAGTAAAAGAGAACTTTTGGCAAGGAAAACAGGGAATCAGCCGCTTATTTCTTTCAACCCAAGTTCACCTCAAAATCTGAGCCAGCCAATCTGCCAATGTGCAGCACTTTTTCAGGGACCATTGATCGGTGAGGTAGAACAATCTTAAGGATCATGTCTCTTCCTGAGGGCTTACAATAAAACTATCCACAATAACCTATTGTGTTACTACTTTGTGAGGAATCCATGAGGATGAAGAAGCACATGAATTTTTAGATCAGTGGGCTAGGAGAAGTTGATAAGTATCTAATCATCTTGGACGGCAATGCCACAAACACTGAGAATGATGCACAAAAGGTTTACCACCAAGCAATTGATGACATATAAAATGCATCAGCACTTGATTCTGAAGTCTGTTGAAAATAGAGCAAACCAATGGCTTCCTCCATTAAACTGGGTTAAAGATGGGTATGCAAATCATATTTAAAACAGATGACCATCAACTCACTAGCTGATTACACCAAGTGCTGTTTTGAAAGAGTTGAGCACCCCGTAAGGACATCTTGCAGCATTTTAAAGGAAGTTGCGGCTTGTTGGACATGGTTGGAGCCAAACTATACTCTTGAAGTCATACACTTGCACTATTATAAGAAGCTACTACAGGCGCATACCACTTTTGTGGAGATAATGCATTTAAGTATTATTATAGAAGTTCTCTTAGGACTGTGCTGATCCTTTATGTATAGGCCACGCACTTGAACTACTGTATGGAGTTACCTACTGCCAGTATCGACCACCTTTTTGGAGATGAGTTTTGTGATACCATCATTACAAAAAATTTCTCTAGGTAGATCTATGAGGATTGACTCATTGAAAAATTTGTGCACTTATTCTTTTTGATTTTGCAGTTCTAGACCTTGAAGGTAGCTTGTTACACGATTTTGGAAATTCTTCTCGGTGAGTGGCAGCTGCTAATAAAAGCACAATGGTTTCAACAACCAACCACTAAAGGGAAACTGATAGTGATCAATGCAACTTGGTTGTTTGTATCACCAGCTTACACCTTCATGTGTAGCTGTACTTCTCCACACGAGTAGGACGAGCACATCCATGTTTAGTTACCAGTATGTTGTGATTTAGACACGACCTTCTTACTTAATATTAGGTTAACAACTGAGTACTATAAAAGCTTAAGTTGGTTGAGAGTGGTGTAACTTAGTTATTTATATCATCAATAGATGGGTTGGCTACTATTTTCTGATTGTATTTAGAGTCTAATTTGACTCTGCTCGATTATTCTAGCTTCTTGTAACTTAATACTTGTTAAATGCATCTTGAAACGAACAACACCTATCATTAGCTATGAGCTTTTTGTTTGGTTTCTGACTGTCCAATGCAAAAGCTATGTTGTTTTCTGCAGCTAACAACATATAACTGTAGCTTTCCAATTTGTTTTGTTTTCCTTTTTCTCCTTGATAACTTTTTTTGCTTGTTATCTTTGAATTTACTTAATATATATATTTTTTGATCTCTTCCACCCACCCTCATTTTTTTCTTTTTCAGCGCCCTACCTGTGGAATTTAAAGACAGTAGATTGTGGGAGTTTCAGAGGTCTTGTCCTCTGTTTGAAAAAAAATAATAATAAGAAGAAGGGCAATTAGGAAGCATCTGACATGATGTCTAGCTGTGTGTCTAGTTACCAGTATGTTGTGATTTAGACATAACCTTCTTACTTAATATTAGGTTAACAACTGAGTACTATAAAAGCTTAAGTTGGTCGAGAGTGGTGTAGCTTAGTTATATATATCATCAGTAGATCGGTTGGCTACTATTTTCTGATTGTATTTAGAGCCTAATTTGACTCTGCTCGATTATTCTAGCTTGTTGTAACTTATGCTTGTTAAATGCATCTTGAAACGAACAACACCTATCATTAGCTATGAGCTTTTTGTTAGGTTTCTGACTGTCCAATGCAAAAACTATGTTGTTTTCTGCAGCTAACAGCATATAACTGTAGCTTTTTAATTTGTTTTGTTTTCCTTTTTCTCCTTGATAACTTTTTTTTTGCTTGTTATCTTTGAATTTTCTTAATATATATATTTTTGATCTCTTCTTCCCACCCTCATTTTTTCCTTTTTCAGTGCCCTACCTGTGGAATTTAAAGACAGCAGATTGTGGGAGTTTCAGTGGTCCTGTTCTCTGTTTGAAAAAAAAAAAAAAAATTAATAAGAAGGGCAATTAGGAAGCATCTGAGACGATGTCTAGCTCCGTGAAAGCTTTGGAACCTGCATTTCAGGGAGCGGGTCAGAAAGTGTATCCTTCAAGAATTTTACTATATAAAATTGGTGGATATTATAATTCTTTCCCACTGCCAATACAAAAGAAAAATGGAGCTTACCTTTGTTTGTTATAAATGCCGAACATGTCCAATTTACAGTTTCACTTTTGGATGTTTGTTAAATGCTTACTGTGTCTCAGTCACACTTTTTACTTTTGGACATGAACTTAACACTCTTGTAGAGGAACTGAAATTTGGAGAATTGAGAACTTTCTGCCAGTTCCTTTGCCAAAATCTGATTATGGTAAATTCTACTCAGGCGATTCATATGTTGTGTTGCAGGTGCATATGATCTTCACTTTTTTCATCTTCATTTTGTATTTAAATTTACATATTTTATTGTGTATTCTATTGGAAATGTTGCTGGGATAAAATCAATTCCCCTGGGAGGGGTAGATTCTCTGCATTTATACTTCTTCTTATGTTGGCCATGTACTTCTGTAGACAACTCCTGGCAAGGGTGGTGCTTATTTGTATGATATACACTTTTGGCTTGGAAAAGATACAAGCCAGGTGATCTCCTCTGCTTCTTTTTGTTCTTATTCAGGACTTATACTTGTTTCAAAAACTGTCCTCACTTTTTGTTTTCAAACTATTATAGGACGAAGCTGGAACAGCAGCTATCAAAACTGTTGAACTTGATGCAATTCTTGGTGGGCGTGCAGTACAGCACAGAGAACTTCAAGGTCATGAATCTGACAAATTTTTGTCATACTTCAAACCATGCATTATACCTCTGGATGGGGGTGTTGCATCTGGATTTAAGAAACCAGTGGAGGAAGAATTTGAAACACGATTATATACGTGTAGAGGAAAACGAGTTGTCAGATTGAAGCAGGTATGAAAGCCTCCAAAGACGAATTTCATGAATTCATTATGAACTTTTTGACATAAATCTGTGGTAGATCAGAAGATGATAAGTTGGTCTTCCATGCTATCCAGGTCCCTTTTTCTCGGTCCTCTCTGAATCATGATGATGTTTTTATCCTGGACACTAAAGAGAAGATTTTTCAATTCAATGGTGCAAACTCCAATATCCAGGAAAGGGCAAAGGCATTGGAAGTAATTCAGTTTTTAAAGGACAAGTATCATGAGGGGAAGTGTGATGTTGCAATTGTTGGTAAGGGCACATGCATTTAAAACTTTGGTGATGATATGTTCCTCTCTTTAGTACTTCTCAATATATTTAGATTATTTGAAATTTTGTTCATGCATATTCACTTAATCAGTTTCTAATTCATCATCCTCTATCTTTGGATATAAATGTTCTCCACTGCATCAGATGATGGAAAACTACAAGCCGAGGGAGATTCTGGTGAATTCTGGGTCCTCTTTGGCGGCTTCGCTCCAATTGGCAAAAAGGTTGCTAGTGAAGATGATGTTATTCCAGAGAAGACTCCTGCCAAACTGTATAGGTGTTCTTCTCTTCTTTAGTTTTGTTGTATTTAAGTGAGGAATTGGTGCAAGTTGAATTATTATTTGAATGTTTATTCCTTTCTAATACTCTGATCGCTAACTGGGTTAAAAATGAAAAGTACTTTGTAACTTTCTTATGGTGCTTTTTGCTTGTGCATTAAAATATAATTAGCTGATTGATGATGGTCAATTGCGAATTTTCAAAATAAGCACATATACATCCTCATCTGGAGGTGGAACAGGAGTTATAGGATTTAGGTCACCAAGTATGTAAATGGAGTATGATATGAAAATGATCTGGTGAGGGTTGAGGGACTTTATTGTTTCTGTTTCCTTTCCCTGTTCTTTTTGTTTCACGTTTATCTTTCTTCTGGTGTTATTTTAATTTGCTTAGACAAAGTTAATAAATAGTAAATAAATGGGCATTGCTCAACTATGTTCCCGCCTACATGAGGTGTTGAAAGGAGAAGACTGGAGGCAGACCAAATCTTCTATATAATTTTACATAGTGGATATTCTCATACTCAAGTCATTCATCTTCATAGTTGTTAGCCTGAGCTTTTACCATTCACCAATAAATAACCTAAAATAAATGAATAAATCATCATCATCATCATCATCATCCTTGCCTTAATCCCATATGAATAGGGTTGTCATCCAAAAGCGCTTTCGGATTTCTGCTTAAACCCTATTTCTATTTCTGCTCTTTTCTGATGGGTTGTAGGGAGATATTATAGATCTTTAGAGGAGATGGTCGATTTTTTGGGCTCCTTGAATGTCTAGAGGTCCTATTTGGCCTTGTGTAGTTCTCTTGGGATGCACTCCCCTTTTGAGTGCTTTTATACGATTTTACTTGTCAAAAAAGAAGAAAAAAAAAAAAAAAAATTCTGCTTAAATTTATTTAATCTGAACTTTGCTGTAGAAAATGACTAGACATCGCTTGTTTAAATTTGCCTCAAGGAGCTCTTGGCGTTTTTAGTTTGGTGCAATATTTTTTTTGATAAGTAGTTTGGTGCAATCTTGATTTAGAGGAATATAGTGTAATTGAAAACTAGACTGTTATTTAAGCTTGTTTAAAAAGTCAAGCATCACCAAGGGAGTTGTAGCCTAACGGTATCTCCTATACCTTCCAAAGTGGATGGTGAGGGTTCAAGTCTCCCCTGTAGGGGCAAATGGGTGTGTGAGTTTCTTGCCAAGGGGTAAAAAAAAAAGAGAGTCAAGCATCGAATAAGAGGCATCAGTAAGTAATGATTCTTTATAATGTCACCACATTGAAAGTTTGAACACGGATGTAATCTGCCTATTACTCTTCGTGGTGTTTTCTTTTATACAAAAATGTTCAGTTTTATCCAGAAATGTTTGCTTTTGTATTATTTTTGTTTAGATTTTAAATGCATATAACATATATTTTATACACATGTTCTCCCGTGATTAGAAGAAACTTTGCAAGCCAGTATCATATTGGTTGATGATACTGGCTGATGCTCTGTGCATTCATCAGTATAAGATGCTAAGTTTTGAGTGCCACTTTTTGCAGCATTATTGATGGTCAGGTTAAGACCATTGATGGTGAACTTTCCAAAAATATGTTGGAAAACAATAAATGCTATTTATTGGACTGTGGTGCTGAGGTATTTGTTTGGTTTGGCCGGGTAACACAAGTGGAGGATAGGAAAGCTGCCAGCCAATCTGCTGAGGTAGAAGCTTAGCGTATATATTATCATGTTCTTTATACCCCTGATTCTCATTATCTAAATTTTATACCCCAGGAATTTGTTGCTAGCCAAAATAGGCCAAAGTCAACACGCATAACTCGGATTATTCAAGGTTATGAGACACATTCATTCAAGTCCAACTTTGATTCTTGGCCATCAGGGTCAGCACCCGCTGCTGCTGCTGAGGAGGGAAGAGGAAAAGTGGCAGGTAGGTTCATCTACTCACTTGTGTACAGACTAAATTTATTATCTGATATCGTTATTAATTATAAAACTGTTATTTGCAGCTTTGCTGAAGCAACAAGGGGTTGGAGTCAAGGGAATGACTAAAGGTGCCCCTGTAAATGAGGAAGTCCCACCTTTGCTAGAAGGAGGGGGGAAAATTGAGGTTGGCTCACTAATCTGTCTCATGGATTTTATAGACTTGTTACATTTATATGTTTCAGAATATTAAAAATAGTTAGTTTTCCAGGTATGGCGCATTAATGGTAGTGCCAAGACTCCAGTACTCAAAGATGACATAGGTAAATTTTACAGTGGAGATTGCTACATTGTTCTTTACACCTACCACTCTGGTGATAAGAAAGAAGATTACTACTTGTGCTATTGGATTGGGAAGGACAGCATTGAGGTAATTTGCATTGTTTGGGTAGTTCGAAAAATGAAAACAAAGAATGCATATGTATAACACAGACAAATACATTTGTCTTTGACTCGTGCGTTGTTCTATTTATTAAATTTTTTTTTTTTTGGGGCACGAGCACATTACTCATTCCTTAATCTGTGTCTAGTAGTAATATTTGGCTCTTGATTTGCTCCATCCCTTCTTGGTGAGATTTTAATTTTCATTTTGTAATACTAAATTTCATGTTTAAAGTAAGGTTAAAACTAAGGGTCCAGTTGGTTAGATAGAAATCAATAGTGAACAGTGAAATAAAGTAAGATGAAGGAAAGGAAATAAATATTCTAGGATTCATTTGGTTAGCATGAAATTTTTTCAGGAAAGTTGTGGGAAATTACTATTTCATGGTTTAAATAGCATGAAAGTTACTAGAGAACATTATGGTTTGCCTAAATCGTCCTTATTTTTAGTATAATTGCAATGTCATATAACTTTCTCAAGAAAGCAAAAATTTCCTATGTTTTTAGTAGGAAAAAATTATGCTTCAAAAAAACGCAATAGAATAATGTAAATAAATTATTTTTTTGTAGGACATCTGGAGAGAGATATGGGCTGTTATACTATTCTTATAAAAGTTATGCATAAACACATGTTATTAGTGTGTTGGTAATTGTAATGTCACATAAGTTTCCCGAGAAAGCAAAATTTTCCTAGGGAAAATTTATGGGAAAGTCAGGTGGTTATGGGAGTTACATCCCCACAAAATTTCCTTTCCCTGCTATCCAAACTCTCAACATTTTCAAAAAATTTCTCTTTCTTTCCTTTCCTGCTATTTCCATCTAACCAACCGGAGTCTAAAGCTAGCGTAATTTTCATGTAAGTCTAGATAGCACATTCCTTGGGGGGTTGGGGGGATATAATGGTTTCAGTGCTCCTTCTTTCGAAACGAGCTTAAAATTTTATTCTCTCTTTTATATTTTGTTAATCACTTCAGTTTCGGTTAGAATTAGTGTATCGTTTTAACCCATTTCTCTTAAAAGAAAATTTAGTGGGATGTGCTCAACTTCTTCATTTAGCCCATCAATTTCTTTTGATGGCTTGTTGGATTGCAAATGCAGAAGTGATTTTTTTATCTGATATCTATATAATCAATCAGTCAAGACTTCCATCTAGCCTTATTCTTCTGTTTTTGTTATTTTATGTTTTTTCCCCCAGTAAAGGGTGAGTGTATTTTATGTTGTCTGTTCATTATTCACAAATATATATTATACTTCTGCAACTAAGATATTGTACCGCATTTTCTTTTCGTCATAATTGTCGTAGCTTTGAGCATTATAATAATTACTTCAACCTTGACTTCATATTAGTGAACAGTGAGAATATTGACACAAGTACTACAGATCTGTTATATATATAGTTCTCATGTTCACTCTAATTGAACCGATTTGGTAGTTGAATTAAGGGGCGGAGTATCATCTGCATCACTTTTTGCTTGCTATATTCGAATGTCATATTATATTTGTAATATGTTCATCAGGTTATTTTAATGATTATATGAAAGAAGTAAGTTTTACTGTTGCTTCCTTCTGTTTCTTGAAAATGATTGTTTGGCTGGTCTTCAGTTCTTCTTTTTCGAATAAATACTTCAAAATTTCTAACTTCAGGAGGACCAAAAGATGGCTGCTAGGTTGGCTACTACAATGTGCAACTCATTGAAGGGGAGACCTGTTCAGGTATGAAACATTTAAAATTATTTATTATGTTGGGGAACTTATACCTTAAGCTGGGATATAAAATGTGTTTCATGCAGGGTCGCATATTTCAAGGGAAAGAGCCACAACAATTTGTTGCCATCTTTCAGCCTATGGTGGTCCTAAAGGTACTTGTCAGCATACATAATTACTATAGGGAAGTACAAGCTATGAATGTTGGCTTAATATAATAGATAGGCTAAATTATTTTCTGTCCGAAGATGGTTACTTCAAAAGTCTTTAAAGTACTCCTTATTTTAATATCTTGATCTACTTGATTCAGGGCGGATTGAGCTCTGGTTACAAAAACTATGTCGCAGACAAAGGTTTAAATGATGAAACTTACACTGCTGATAGTGTTGCACTCATTCAGATTTCTGGAACATTTGTGCATAACAATAAAGTTGTTCAAGTTGATGCGGTATGGGCTTGTTGATCCTTTTGCCCTTTGAGTTGCTCTAATTTATGTTTTGTTAATGTTTCTAAATATTTGTATCTGTGATTATATAATTTATTGGCCAATTCAATCTTGTTTTTCTTTTAGTTAGTTTGAGCCCTTTTTCTTCCTGCTGATGCAGTACATGTAGTCAGTCGCTTTTCTAGGAATAGATAATACGGTTGCTGTCCCATTCAATGAATATAGTCTCTCCCTTCACATACAACTCTTTACTTTTTTAGAGATCTTAATTTCATTCCTTTAAAAAAAGAAAAAAGAGAAAAACAGAAATGGAGGTGTGCTTCTAAGGTATTGTGTGACCATCAACTACATACCTTTCAAATTAATGGGAACATCGAATAATGTCTAATTAAAGAGAAGATCAAATAATACTTATCAGGGGAGAAAAAAAGAAGGAAGATTGAACGGTGTCTTTGAGGCCACTTTAGAGTGCTCTTAATTTGGCACCTCAGAGGCAGATTATCCACTACTAATATGTCAATGTTTCACTTAATTTGAGTGCTTTTGCACCTCATGACCAGTGTGGTCATTGACTAGTGTGGCCTTATGTGATTGGACAGCTGTCGCTTCATTATGTGGGACTCTATGCACCTGATCTATACGTGGTTGAATGCTTTGCTATCATAGTCAGGAAACATTATGTCCTTATATTTAATGTAGCACTCTGTGTTATGAGATAGATGAGTGGCAGGGAAAGAAAGAACAGAATAAAAAATATTGCATTCATGAAAAGTTAAGATTCACTGATTAAGGAGAAGATACAAGATGGTTGGTTTAAGATGTGCCTTTTCTCTGTGTGTGAGAAGATGGATTGGTTGTTGCACTAGAAAAACCAACGTTGCACTAGAAAAACCAATGTCTGCATCCTTGTAGAATGGTAATTCTGTAACTTCTATTCAAGTTGAAGGCATTGCATGACAAGAGGAACCCATAAAAAACTGGAGTTGAGCTTGCGAGTGAGAGTGAGAATGAGAATGACCTATGATTTAAGATAAATATTATCCTGAATTGAACTAAATGATGGAAGTTCTTGTAGCCCCTGAATAGTCATGAAACTAAAAGGAGCTGATTAACTGAATATGTATAAAAGAGAAAGAAATATGGATGTTTCACATCATTGGTCTGCCTATAGTTTTTCTCTTACTATGTCTCTTATAGATGTGAATATCAATTTTCAGAACACCCTATATGTTTACTTTGTCATGAATTCTGTGACTGATAAGTAATTATCTTTGGTTTTCTTGAAAATATCTTCTTTACATTTTCAATCTTTTTTCAGGCAGCGGCGTCATTGAATTCTAATGAGTGTTTCCTTCTTCAATCTGGCTCTTCAATATTCTCTTGGCATGGAAATCAGAGTACCTTTGAGCAGCAGCAATTAGCTGCAAAAATTGCTGAATTTTTGAAGGTATGTTCTTTGTAGAAAATCCTCTTCATCTCGGACATTAGGTTTTGATTCTGGTTTAGTTTGGCCTCTAGAAAAAAGATTTGCCATGATTTTTTTGACTATTTAAAAGGATGACTTTGGTATCATTGACTTTGAAAGTTGAGCTATGTATAGTTCATGGATTTTTATGTAAGTTGCGAGAATCCAAAATCATGTTTCTTGGTTATTACTGTTTCCTGTTACTCTCTTAAAGAAATTTTATACTAATGGATTGCTTAGACGGGCTTGCCTTAAGAATATGTCAAGTATTGGATGTGGAGGTAACTGTAAAAGCATTAATGATTTGGGCATAAGTGTGTTTGTTTGTAGCAAATATTCATGTTTATATTTGTGTAATTTTATGTGTGGAAGTGTCATATGATGAGACTATACTAATATTGTAATCAGCTTGACATCTATATTTTAAAAATCAGTACTAAAAGCACTTATCAATATATATATATATATATATAAGAGTACTAAAAGCATTTCATAATAAAAGATTGTTTTGGTTGAATGAAATAATGGGATGTGATTATTGAATCTAGGCCTGTGGTTAGCATTCTTGATGAGTGTATTGAAATGAGTAGCTCTGATAAGAGACGGCTCTAACAGGATCACAGGGTATTGATTCTATATAATTGTTTAAATCTTCTCCTCCTGTTACATAGATCTTTTAGTCTGCTCTCTTGTCTAGAGGTATTTATTTCTTAGCTAACATCCTGATTTTTTTATTTTTTTAAGTAAATGTATTTTTACTATGTTTCTCTAATGTATCATGCAGTCAGTAATTTTAGATGCTTTATTTATAAAAAGCATAACCAGCACTAGGTTGGCTCAACCCGTGGTTACTAAAACGTTATTTCAGTTTGGTCCAAGTTAACTCTATGAAGTCCACTTGAATCGCAATCAGCTTTTTGCTTATCTTTTGCCTTGTCTTGGGAAAATTATGTCCTTTAAACTAATTATACCTACTTTTTTTTTCCTTCCTTAAGCAACTAATTATGCCTACTTTGTTATGGGAATGTGCTATGTCAATCCATTGACACAAATTTTTAGTTAACTGATTTATTTTGTTTATCTATGTTGCCAGTTTGAACTTGTCTAAGTTTTCCAGTTTTGATACAAGTAGAGATGATAAATGCTTTAATGTTACACTGTGTATCAGTGTGTTTCTTCCATCTTTGATTTAGATAATAGTTTAGAAAAACAATGGACATGTTTTGATTATGGGGTGCAATCAGTACTACGTGGACATGCAGTTGAGAATAGTCTATTGGTTGGCAATGTGATATTATGATTGTTGTACTAAATGTGGTTTTTTGCTGACCTTTTGGGACCGGTAGATCAAAATATTACCACTACCTTGTGTGTTCTATTTAGTGAATTAAGATTTACTCGCTTTAAAAATTCAGCCAGGGGTAACTGTGAAACACTCCAAGGAAGGAACTGAGAGCTCAGCCTTCTGGTTTGCACTTGGAGGGAAACAAAGCTACACCAGCAAAAAGGCAGCTCAGGAGGTTGTCAGAGATCCCCACTTGTTCTCATTCTCATTTAATAAAGGAGGTACAATTATATCAGAAGTAAAAATGGCATCATGTTATTTTGATTCCTCTCCGTTCTTTATATGTTTGGCTCATTTTTTATTTTTTTAAAAAATTATATGGATTGATTTATGAAATTTTAAAATTCTTGATAAAGCTGATTATTCCTTTCTAACGAATTTTTACCTTTTTATGATTATTCCTGCTTCCATGTCTGATTATCCAGGAAAGTTTGAGGTGCGTTCTAGAAATCAATTTTAATTGAACTCTTTTACATGTATATTCAGATATTTTGCAGTTTCTGTATTCATTTTTATATGTTAATTTGGCAGGTCGAAGAAATTTATAACTTTTCTCAAGATGACCTGTTGACTGAGGACATCTTGATACTAGACACGCATGCTGAAGTATTTGTTTGGGTTGGTCAGTCTGCAGTCCCCGAAGAAAAGCAAAATGCCTTTGCAATTGGTCAGGTACTCCTCATACAATTTATGTTTCTTTCCAAGGTTCTTTCTGTTGCGCACTTCATTAACTATAGAAGTTCATTACAGAAATACATAGAGATGGCCACAGCTCTGGAGGGGTTATCATCATCTGTACCACTATATAAAATCACGGAGGGAAATGAACCATGCTTCTTCACAACCTTTTTTACTTGGGATCCTGCAAAAGCTACTGTATGACCTGCAACGACAGACTTCCTTTTTTCTGTATTACTCTGATGTTCTGATTAGTTTATAGATTAATATATTTTCCAAAAGCAATAGTGAAATTCTACATTTGCCATTGAGCATGCATAGTTATAAATTAAACACAATATATTATGTTGATAGAATTAGTTATATGCTTGATTAATAATTATTTTTTTGAACTTTTGACATCTAATCAAGTCACTTGAAGGCCCTCTAATGTTAAGGGTTTCCTCTTATTCGCATTCACTGAAGTTTCAAGCATAGATTGACCACTCTTTGCTGAAGTTGTGCTCCTTGTATTTGTCTTGTCTAATCTTATTTTGAAACCATAAAGTTCCAAGCATCATTCAACTGTACTGCCTGAATTTCAACCATCATCATATGCTACTGAATTTACCCTTTAATAGCTTCATAATTCATTAATCAACAATATGAAACTACCTCTTGAATGTTGGCTGTCTGTTCATCTATCATTAATCTAAAGATACCTGCATAATATTGGTTTTTTGTTTTTAGTGTGTGGCTTTAGAACACAGTCTTAATAATATAAATTATATATGCATAATTAAAAGACATTCACATAATTGTATGCCTTATCTATCTGTATTTCCTTTTGAGTGTAACCAAGCAATAATTGTTTTTTTTCTTTATTGTATTCTTTTACTTGCCCAAAAAAAGAAAAACATAATTGGTCTTCTTTTTTTTTTTTTTTTTTTAAGATTAAGTTGTTATTACACCATTTTTATCTGGATGACACTAACCCCAAAGTTTGTAAACTTCAGTTGTCTCCAAAAAGGTCATTGATACTCTTGTTATTAAATTGTTGTTTAATCTCATTTCCTCTGATTAGTTGCATCTTAATATGTCTGTCAAATATATTCTTAACTCGGCATGTTTTCTTATGCAACATAGGCTCATGGGAACTCATTTCAAAAGAAGGTTATGTTACTCTTTGGGGCAGGTCATGCTGTGGAGGTAAAATGCTTGATTTCCTTAAAATTATAAAATATGCTTCTGCAAGTGTGTTACATTGAATTCTGTTTTTAGAAAGTAATTAGATCTCTCTCTTTCTAGTTACCCTGGTCAGAAGGGGGCTAAAATGCAAATTATCATCACTTGCTTCAATGATAAGTGCCTTCTAATATCTTGATCTTTTAAAACCATGGTTAAAAATTTGTTTCCCACAACTGATGATGCTAATTTCTAAGTTGTGGAAGTCCTTTATTGAATCTATAAAGAAAAGGAGAGAGAGAGAGAGAGAGAGAGAGCTATTTTTTGGACGATAGCGTATAAGAATCAAAGACCTAACCCCACCCTTCTTTCTAGATGTCACGGTGTCTCATTATACATGTGCTACAACAGCTCTGGCAAAAAGATACAAAAATAAATAAATAAAACATTAAATTCTTGATGTTTACCCTTCATCTTACTATGCAGTAGCACAATTCTTTGAATTACCATACTTTTTTACTAATATAAAATGTTCTCGCTGAAAATATTTTTACATGAAATTAATTTTCTTTGTTTGGTTGATCTTTTGAAAATAATTTCCAATGCTTGAAAAATGCATATTGACTAGTATTTATGTGATCATGACTATAAACATTTTATATTAGTATACATATAAGTTGGGGTCAGTTTGGTAACCGTTATCTTTTTTTGTTTATCGTTGAAGGTTAAACATAAGCTGTTGTTTATGGTTAAACAGAAAACATTGTTTGGTAACCTCAAACTGTTTTTAAAAAATTGAACATAATGAACAAAAGACATTGGCAATGTTAAAATGCTTATAAAAAAAAATAATAATAAATTAAAATATATGTATATATATATGTATATGCACATAAACATTGTTTGGTAATCTAAAAATTGGAAAACATGTTATTATCTCCATTCACTGAAGAGAGACAAATATGAAACTAAAACCATTAAGCAGATGAGTACTAGATCCCAACCTATAAATTTAATATTACAGCCTTTTTAAATCATAGTGTAATGTAATTGAAGGTGAGAGCATAGGGGATAAGGCTTCTAGACACCTATTGTTCATGGATCCTTGCCTATTACTTGGAGGTTTGGTCATTTCATTCATTTAATCACCTATTACTTGGAACTTTGTTGATTAGTCATGACTTTCCTAACTACAATAGTCCTGCCAAGTTCTGAATTTTTTCAGCAACTTTAAGTTCATCTTTTTCGCTTTTCTTCTGATTTCATCCTTCTCTTTCAGTAGATGGGTTTGCTTGGGACTGCTCTACAGACGGAGTGCACCTGTTATGGAATATGGGTTGCAACTTGCAAATTATTACTTTAAACCTTGGGGACTTACTTCTTTATCTTAATGGTGTTTTATACTCCTATTCTAATTCTTCTCCGTCGTTGCTTCCTTAGACATATGAAGTTCTTTACGTGAGAAAATTACAATTGTAACAAACTGTTACCCATAAATAAATAAGGAAAAATAGATGATTGTTAAAATGCTAAGACTCTGTGCCCATACATTTTCACTTTCAATTTTGCACGAGACATGAAATAAACTTCTTGGTGAAGTGGGTGTATGATTCCTATGCTATTGCTGAACCAGGATAAGTCCAATGGGTCCAATCAGGGAGGACCAACACAGAGAGCTTCAGCTTTAGCTGCCCTATCCTCTGCATTTAATCCATCTTCTGGGTCCAAAACTGGTGCTGCTCTAAGGCCATCAGGCGCCAATCAGGGATCACAGAGAGCAGCTGCTGTAGCTGCTTTATCTTCAGTTCTTTCTGCTGAAAAGAAGCGCTCTCCTGAAGCCTCTCCTGCACGACCCACTAGAAGTCCGCCGGCAGAAGCTAGCCCTCATGGTATTGAAACCATAGTTACTCTTTTTATGTGCTTTTGATGTCATTATCTACATAGGAGACCCAATTCTGTTCGCTTGTTTGTAGCATCTCCTAACATTTCTAATTCATTTCAGCATCTCTTGACATCCTTTTTTCTGGGGTGGATTTATTTTTCATGGAGTGACCATCTGCATTAAACCCGAGTTATTATTAAAACGAAATTTCTTTGAATTATGATTTAAAAGAAAATTGAGAAATCAATTTATCTGATGGTATTGAATAGAGAGGGAGAGAGAAATGGAAACTGTTTAAAGCCTTTCTTTAATGATCATTGACGCTTCAGGTCCTGGGAAAGAAGGTACTTGAAGTCATTGAATTTATTTAATGCTTTGTGGTCTTTAAACCAAGTTATCTTCCTTATCATTATTAAATTTTAATTGTTCTGCAAAAAATAATTTTTGGAGGGAAATCAATGCTATTGAAGAAATTTTTTGATGTTTAGAGCATGTAAGAACTACAACCTGGGATTTTCTTGCTCTTCTTTGACAAGTAAATATTGTTTCATGATTGTACTATTTTATGAGAATTTGATATCCATTGCCTGGCCCACTTCTTAATAGTTTGAGCTTTTGGCACAAGTGAACAGTTTGAACTTTTAGATTATTGGTCATCAAGCATTAGCATCGGAGCTTTAGTTCAGGAAAATCGTGTTCAAGTCTTTTTGTTTGCACTGTTTCCTCTTCTTAATTATCTTTCCACTTCATTGGATTTGTCTATCTCCTCTCTAAATACACGTGAAAAGAGAGTAATGAAATTTGATGTACATTGTTGGACTCATTCCTCAACAACTTAACATGTGATTGTCTAAAACGAGGGGCTTAAAATTTTGAAAATTTTGACTTTTTATGTGTTGCTTGTAGCCGAAACGAAGAGTGAAAATACCCATTCAGAGGTAGAGAATTCTAAAGATGCTTCCGAAGTTGAGACAGAGGTCCTTAAGCCTGTATCAGAGAGTAATGGTGAGGATTCAGGACCAAAGCAAGAGGCAGTGCAAGATGAAAATGGTTGTGAAAGTGGTCGAAGTACGTTTAGTTATGAACAGCTGAAGGCTCATTCTGACAACCCAGTATCTGGAATTGATTTTAAACGAAGAGAGGTTGGTCAATTTATGAATTTTATTGCATTTAAATGTTTATGTTTTGTTTTTTCATTATATATACTCTCCTGTTTTCAGGCTTATCTGTGTGATGAGGAATTCAAGGATGTGCTGGGGATGACGAAAGAAGCATTCTATAAATTGCCAAAATGGAAGCAGGATATGCATAAGAAGAAAGTCGATCTCTTCTAGGGACTGATTCACCAAATTCGAGTGATTTCTCTCCTTTTGCATCTTTACTTGCAATTCCTTGAATGTCTTGACTCTTTTCTACCAGAGCAACGTGGTTTTTATTGATCCACCATCCCTAGATTGCCATATCTCGAGTTTTTCTGTTTGCTGGATGACGACCACAGCTGTTGTTAGTATTGGTATCCATTGTGTGATGCCCCTGAAGAGTGCTTTTTTTCCCCTCTTTAACTACTGCTACATATGTTATGGTCAAACATTGTAGATTAAAGACAGCAGGCAAGTCACTTATCAACAAAAAAAAAAAAAAAAAAAAAAAAAAAGACAGCAGGCAAGTCGATTCTTTCATTTGGTTGGTATGTATCTCAGTTTGTGGTTCTTGACTACGTATTTCTTTGTTTTAAATCATTTATTTGTCAAAAAAGGGTGTATATGTGTTGCATTTGTACCGAATTACAATATTAATGAATTAAGAATTTGTTGTTTGCCATCAAATGACTTTTAATTTAGTATAGTTTTCTTATCAGATAATTTAATATTAGTTGGGTAAAAAAAATATGAATCCAGTTATCAATCCCTATAACATTTGCTGAAATGAGGTTGAAATGTTTGTTCTACTTTTCAGAGACTCTGGATGTTGTTGTACACACACAGACAAACACAAATGTCATACAGTGGGCTCTTTATTCTACGTGGAAGCAGTTCTATTGGAATTTTAATTTGATGAATGACAGTTCAACCGTGGTGTTGTATATTTATTGCCTTTTAATATCATTCCTTTGATAAGAGATCTCCTTAAAATGTTAGGTATGAATATTCTAGTGTAATTTAATTTTTTAGCATCTCAATTCTATTGTTTCATGGGTGGGTGAGCTAAGTAGTTTATAATTTATTGTGGCTTTTCTCAATTGTCTTATTCAGGTTGTTAAATTTTGGTACTTTTTTTTTTTGGTAGCTCCATCAACATAATTTTGTTGAGTACTACTTGTTGTATTGTAGCTTAATAATTAATTAATACAGCTTTAAGTATCTCTCATGCTATATTTCAACAATTTGTACCAAGACTTCTCAGTAATTTGTCTTTTCTATTGCCCACTTCTAAGTTGGAACTCCACTTGGTCGACCACCACCGCCACCATATCAGTCAACTCTGCTAGGAAAACATTTGTTGCCATCCATTTCTCATTGAAGTGTTGTAATATGAGATATATATATATATATATATATATATATATATATATTAGTAATTCTTCTTCAGTTTAAAGAAAGGAGTCAATCGGATATGATTATAATAGCTGGCCATGTTGTTTGAATCTTTTGCTATTTTTTATCCCCTCTGCCTTTCCTTTTGTCTTAATTACTGTTATATTCACATATATGCTAAAAAATTCTTAATCCTACTATTAAACTAGTCAATCTGATATTTTTTTTATTGTAGTCTAATTCAACCTGTCTTTCCTGAGCTTCCACGGCGCACTTAATTGTCAAAAAGAGAAATAGTGAATACTGTGGAATATATATATATATATATATATATAGATGATAAATTACTCTATTCTCAACTTGCAATCATTACTCTTTTCTTATACATTGAGCTAATGTGCAAACGAATAGAATTTGTCTTTCCATTTTAAGAAGTGATTTACCATACAAAAATATTATTATACGGTGACCGCATTTGTAACCATCAATTCATGTAATTAAAATGTGATGTTTGGTTTATAAATTAGATGACGTGGGTTAGGGGTGGCCACGGATCGGATTGGATTAGGCATCAATCCTAATTCGATTCGCTCGCAATGGATTGAGAGATTTTAAATTCGCCACCAATTCATTAGCCAACGGATCGGATCGGATCGGATTGGTGAAATAACCGATCGAATCGGATCGGATCCAATCTACGGACTGAATTTTTCAAAATGGTCTGTTTTCACCAATTTGAGATTCACTTACAAAGCTGTATAACATAACATAAATAAAATCAATTTAAACGCATAATAGGTGAAGCAACCGCTTTTCTCTATGCTCTTCTTTAACACTTTGAGTACTTTCATCTTTGGCTAGGTTTAGGCTTTGATTAAATGAAAAGTCCGTGGTCCACTGTTATTTATTGAGTAATAAATATTATAAAACTAATTGTATAATACTTACTAAAAAAGAAAACACAAAAAAAATGGTATGTTTGGAGTTCATATATATGTCTATATATATATATATATATATGCTAGCTACCAAAAAGTAAAGATATTACTATAATATTAATATTATATAAATATATATTACGGATTCACGGATCGGATCAAAATTTTGATAGCTTAATCCGCCACCGATCCGTGAGACTACGAATTTAATTTTTTTGAATCCACCACCGATACGTAGGACTGACAATCCAATCCAATCCAATCCAATCAATACAGATCGAATTAGATCGGATTGAATTCACGGATTCACGAATTTTTTGCCCCCCCTAATATTGTGGGTGGGTTGTTGGGTTGTGGATTATATACTTTCCGTGTACAAACCATTTCCTAAGTTGATGGACCACTATCACTTTGGAGCCTCCCTCCCTAATCGCCATTTCAACTCTCAACCACACCGCTTTCAATCACTTATCCGAAGCACCAACCACCTAATTGCAATGATTATTCGCCTTTTTTAGTACTATTATATAATTCATATTGTCACCTTTCTCTCTCCTTTGTTTTTTTTCTTTCTTTTCACTTTTTGTTTTATTTATTTCCTTCTTTATTTTCTTCTTCGTTTTTGTAATTGGACTTTTTCAACATATTCGCAATGGGTCCCAACATATTATTTATATATATATATATTCTATCACAAAAGAAATTCCTTTTTTGAAAGTGAAAAGAAATAAAAAAACGAGGCTCCGGAAACTCCGTGTGAAAGAGCAGGCATGAGATGGTGAAGAGTGGGTGTAATGATTTAGTGAATTTAAAGAGTTGGCTCAATGTACAAGATTTTCACGTGAAGATATTATTATTATTTTGCTACGTGTGATTTACCGGTCAAAATGTAGTTATTTTATCGATATATCAAAGCCCTACAATTATTCATATATATATATATATATATTTTTATCATTTTAATAACAAAAATTTAATTTTTTCTTAAAAATTAAAAATAATTTGAAAATTGGAGACCAACTGAAGGTAATTTAGTGAAAAAAAACACTTACTAGTTTATAAACATTGTAAAAGTTATTTTAAAAGGATAAAATTGGTATCCAATAAAAAGGTAGCTTTAAAGCAATTTTGTCGTTTTAAGATTACTCTCTATTCATTAAAGTATCATATGCTAATCTTACCCTGATAAACACCCCCCCCCCTCCCTCTCTCTCTCTCTCTCTCTCTCTCACACACACACACACACACACTGGAATAGGGGGTCCGCCAGCGAAGTGAATTGTCTCGTATGAGTTGTGTGATGGAACTTGTGGCACACATTATTGGTGTCGGTCGTTTGGGTTTAGGCTTTAGCCATGGTTGGATATATTTATTTGATCATCCACTTAATGGGTGAGAGCATCAAATGCCAACATTTGGACATGGATTTTCAATTTATTACTGTAATATCATCTTACCTACCATTATGTCATTTACGTATTTATCCTAAATTTATGGCTTATTAATCACTGTAATATAAGCTTAATCAATCAGTTCCATTAAATGCTTTCATTAATCAATGCAAACACATATTTATCATACAATTATAGTTTCGTACCTGCTTTGATAGTCCACTCTTTCTTTTTCTTTTTCTTTTTTACCTTAAAAGTCAGTTGTTCTGATCATAACACAAATTAATCCTTTTGCTTTTCTTTTTTCTTTTTTTTGTTTTTAGTATGTAAAATTAGAAAAATGATTTTAACTTTTATTGAAGTGGTCAATTTGAACACTCAAGAAAGTGTTTTGTTGTAGTTGAAGTGACCAATTTGACCTTAAATATTTAATTGTAAGCTGTAACAAAGGTATATTAAATGTTTTCAGCAATATTTATGAGTTTTATCAACCCAATGTAAAATAAATTCTAAGACCAGAGTAGCAGATTTGATCTTTATTGTGTCAACCTATAAATTAGCAACATCAATATTGGGAGTAATTACTGCACACTTGAATTCCCCAACAACATTAAAATATATTTAAATTTTAAACCTCACTTAAATTCCACTCCTTTCTTCTTTTAAACCTCACTTGAATTCTACAACAATAAAGCCTTTTTCGGTTGGCCAATGCTTGTAAGGTTAAAGCAAATGCGCGTATTAGCACATTTTCCCTCACACACACACTCGCTCTCTCTCTCCACCAGCAAACAAAACGCGGTAGAAACATCATTAGCAAATGGGTTTAATGATTAATCAAAGCTCAATATCTCTCTTCTAACACTACAACTATGATTCGCAGTCGCGGTGTAATAGACTCGGGTGAACATATATCAATGTAAACCGTTCGAATCGACCAATTCATGAAGATTTGTAACGGTATCAAACTCTTAAAAAGGAGTTACGAACAGAACGTTAAGTCGTGTAACAGTCGATACGGCAAACCATAATGCAAGCATCTGGTCCAGCTTCATTCCCACTATCATTTGATCAAAGTCTACCACTTACAAATTTAGTTGTAACAAAATTCTTAATATGAACTTTGATTGAATGATGACAAGTCAAAATTCAAGTCACGTGATTGAAGTCTGCGAAGTTCTGGTAAGAAATTTAATTGGAGATGATTCTTGTCCTCTCTAATTCCTAAAGCCCTTCACATTTTTCACTCATTTTTTCACTATATATGCGGCATTGCAGTCACTTGAGAAAGATTATTGACATTTATACGAGTCTGATCTAACAATATAGACGCAATTGTGAGCACGAACCATATTGGCGCGTTTTAACATTCTCATAACTATGATAAAGAAGGGTGTCACCTCTAGATAAAAGAATTGGGTGTGATGATGCTAAAATGGCACCAACCCTTCAACAGATGACAGCCAAATCATGAAGCACTCATAAAAGTTCAAAGTCAGCACCGAAGGTAAATTTAGCGTTTGACCAACAAAATTGTCTGTCTGCACTGTCAGTAACTAATTAAAAATGAAGCAGTCTCTGAATAGAGAAATGCAGAGGAGTAGATGCAATGGTTTCTTGTGAATATCATTTCTTAACTAACATTTAATGTACAAAACTGTAAAAGTCATTTTATACATTCTATGAACAAAAAAACAAATGTAGAATAATTTTTTTGTTTTTTTAAATAAACTCTAATTCTGTTTTTCCATGTACTTTATTTGCTAGCAATCACAATAAACTGAGGAATATAGTTCTAGTGAACACAAATGCTTCATAATAACAGAAGTAAGATCTATATTACTATTACAACGCCTAACCACTGTATGATTTGATAAAGACAAGAGAGAACCTGAGAACCCAGTGAGTGAACTCGCATCCGGGATTGACTCGGTTGACGAAATCAAATTTACATTCTTCAGTATAAACCCATTGCCAACGAGTTGTTGGAACAGTCCTGACTCGGACATTGAGTTCTTCCGCTTCTGTTGCATTGCGGCCCGAGCGATCTCCGTTAACATCACATTCGATAATCGCCGAACCCCCCGAGCTCCACCAACTATAATCACTGGGTTAACCAGGTTTTGATTGTGGGACTGAGTCTTCACCGATTTCTTCCTTCCATGCTTATTATTGGGTGTAGTAGGAATACTCTCTGAAACTGTTGATAAATAAACCGACTCGGGACTCCGATTCCTGACTCGGCCAAACGGGTCACCGAGTAGCAATATTTCTTTCACGTCCACTAGCATTGTATGCTTGAAATTTCGTCTAACTCGGCCCAGTAGCATCGGATAACAAGCCCATCTTCTCAAGCTCATTGGAACATGGTCTAGAAACCCGGCAAGTGAGTCCTCGGGGTCGAGCTCGTCGACCTCAAACCCCACCACCGAGCCATAACTCAACCGAGTCAACTCACCTTCACCTTCTCCTTCTCCGCTGCTGTAATTGCTTCGAATTCTTCGACCCCATATTGGCTCTCCCTTCTCTTTCTCCTTTTTAGCCAATTTCACGAACTGGGTGACGTCAAAACTCGCCTTCGAGTTCACATAAGTACCGTTCATTTGTTGATACCGACGAATTAGTTTCGTGAATGACTCGTTCTCTCCGCGAATCACACCATCAAACTCAGACAAATGCGAGGTTGAAGAAAAAATAAAGACAATGTCCGATCTTGAGGTGAGACCAGAGCGATGCAAGAATCTTAAGAACAAGCGAAGTTCGTGTGCTGTGACCGACTCAACAACATGAGCCACAATAAGGTCGTTCATGGCTCTTGTGCCTCTTCTATACAGAGTACCCATTCCTTGCAGAGCATGTGAAGTTAGTGATGGTAAAGAAGTAATTTTGGGTGTGTAACGCGAATTGTGATTGGTAATTAAGCTAATTGGCCATGGAGGAGGTGACGAGTGTGTGAATTTTTGAGTGGTTTTGTACAAAATTGGAGGGTTTGACGATGAAAGGTGTTTGCGAGACGCGAAGTGATTGGTGGTGGTGGTGGGTTCGAAGGTGGAGAGAGTGAAGAGGAGGAGGGTGATGAAGATGAGGAGGGCACAGATGGAAATTGTGGATTGGGCTTTGCTGAGAAGGTGGTTTGAATTGGAGCGTCTGAGCAGAGTATTAATGGTGGTGGTGGTGTTTTTCTTCTTATTGATTACCGCGTCGTCTTCAGGGAAGAAAACGAGAAGGAAACCCGTGCCCCAGCCTTCATTGCTGCTCTTTGCTGGGAAACCCATTTCTCTCTATAAAAATATGTTTGTGTGTATATATATATATATCCTTCCCTCCTCTCTCTCTCTCTCTCTCTCTCTCTGCACAACTTCCCTCTCTTTCTCTAAATGGCTCTTCACTTCACCTCTGTTTTATACTCCATAAATTTTCTTTTGAGATATCTACAGGGTATTTTTGGCTTCGATCGTGAACAGATTATCTTTGATTAACAGTGTGGTGTTTTGAATTCACAAAACTAAAAAGATAATTAAGAAAAATATGTAAAAATTTAATTCTACATTTTACGGTACACATATTTATAATAAAAAAAAAAAGTCTAATTCTAAAAGAAAACTAAAACTTGAAGAAACTTAAGTTTAGAAGAAATCTAAAACATAAAGAAATCTAATACTAAAAATAAATAAAAAAAATAAGCCTAAAATTAAGATTAAAAATAAAATTTCTTGAAAAAAATTCAAAAAATTAGAATAAAAAATCTAATAAATAAAATCTAAAATTTCATATCATTACCACTTCATTAAGATTTCGAAATAATATGCATCTCAATGTGATTTTCATCCTAAAAAACAAATACTATAACTGTTCAGAATTCTATTGAACATCGATGTGATGTGGCGATCAAAAAGGAACAATTTTAATTACTACCATTCTCTTTATTAACTTCATTACATTTAAGTGACCCTTCTTTTCTAACACGGTATCAACTGTAAGTGGGACACATTGGCATGAGTGATCAAATATGGGGTTGACCACCGTGCTTATGATAAAGTGTAGAGAAAATCACTCCCCACTGGCTTCATCAATGCCTTTGTGAAAGATGCAACACATGGGTGAACATAGCATGAGATGACCATGCCGGTCCTGTGACATGGTCATCTCATGCAATTTGATCTCCAATTTGAAAGGATTATAAATTTAGAATCATAGTAAGAATATAGTAATATATGTCTTGACACTCAAATCATAATTTTCATAATTAAAAGATAATTCATATAAATTTGTGGCAATAAATAATTTTTTAAAAAAATTATAATTATACAATAATTTGTATGGTAACTATAATTTGTTTCTATTCCTTTCCTTAAAATATATATATATATATATATATATATATATATATATATATAAACTAATAAATTAGTTTATTATTATATTGTTTTTGGGCTTTGGTGAACGTGGTTAAGCACAATCCAAACAAACAAAATTTTAAGTGATGGATGTAATCAACTATCACAGATTTCTTAAAATATGATATGGTTTTTGATATTAATGGGATATAATTATTTTGAGAGTTACAAGTTTTAAGAAAAACTTTACTAAGATAAATAAAAAAGGCAATTGAAGTATTTGATTTAATCTATAAAAATGTTTAGTTATTATTTTTCAAATGTTTTGATTACATATATACTACGTTTGGTGTGCGAGAATGCAATGGAATGCAAGTGGAAATGGAATGAGAATGAAAATGGAATGAAATGGTCATTCTCATTTTATTATTTGGTTGTAATCTGAAATGTGTAGGAATGGAATGATAATAACCATTCTAGTGTTTGGTTGGACCAATTTAAAATTTAGAATGGAATAAATTTCTAATTGAATTTTCTAAAATATCCCCCTTAGTAACAAATAAATTAAATTAAATTAACAAAACGATATTCTCTAATAATTTTTTAAAAATAAATGGTGGCAGTGGCGATGGTGGATGGTGGAAAGCGGTAGTAGTGTAGGTGGTGGTGTTGAAAGGCGGCGATGGTGGCAATGGTGGAAATTGGTGACGACAGTGGTGGTGGAAGGTGGCAGTGGTGTTGGTGGAAGGCGGTGGCAGTAATGTAGTGGTTGTGGTGGAAAGAAATAGTGGGGTGACTATGGTGGTGGTGGAAGGCAGTGGAAGTGGCGGTGGGGGTGGTGGCGGAAGGTGGTGACAATGGTGGTGGTGGTGGAAGATGGCAGTGATGGTGGTAGTGGTGGCGGTGGCAAAGGTGAAAGCGGTGGTGGAAGGTGGTGGTGATGGAAGGTGGTCGAAGGCAATGGTGGTGGTCGAAGGCAATGGCAGCGTTGTTGGTGGTTGTGGAAGGCAGCAGCGGTGGTAAAAGATGGTTATGGTAATGGTGGAAGGTGGTTATGGCAGTGGTGAAAGGCTATAACAGTGGTAGTGAAAGGCGATGGCAATGGTGGTAGTGAAAGGCGATGGCAATGGTGGTAGTGGAAGGTGGTGGCGGTAGCGGTGGTGAAAGGCAGCAGTGGTGAAAGACGGCAATGATGGTTACGGCAAACGGTGGCGGTAGCGGTGGTGATGGAAAGTGGTAGGCGATGGTGAAAGTCGGTAATGGTGGAAGACAGTGATAGTGGTGGTGGTGGTGAAAGGCGAAGATGATTGTGGTGGAAGGTAATGGTGGTTTTTAGACTTGGAATATAAGGGTATTTTGGAAAGTCGATTTTTTAAAATAAATTATTTGGGAATGGAATGGTCATTCTATAGGTTTAGTTGTGAAATGGATTTTCATTCCCAGGAATGAATTTCCATTCCAATGGAATGCCTATTCTCACTTTAAGTTGCATACCAAACAAATGAATGATTGGAATGCGCATTCCATTTCATTTCATTCCTTCACACCAAACGTAGCAATAGAGTATTATGACTATCTCAATTATAGTTACACCTAGGAATGGCAACAGGGCGGGTTTGGAGCGGGTTTCCCTAAATCCCGCCCCACCCCTTTTAATTTTTGTCAAGTCCATACCCGTCCCGAGACCCACGATGGGTTGGATTTTCATATCCAGTCCCGCCCTGTTGGAAAATATTGTGCCCCCGTGCCCGTCTCGCTAACAAATTTTTTTCTCCCACTTTTTGGAACTTAAACTCTTGGTATTTAAATGTGAAAAGCCTGAAAATGGCACAGCATAAATGAAATTATGTATCTCAACAAAAATTAAAAAATAACATGCACATAACCTAATTCAGATAATATAATAAACAAAAAAAAAAAGTTTAATACAATCAAATCACAAGAAGTTCTAAGCTACAGCTTCCAAACATAACCAAAACAAAAGCAAATTTAATACCAATTTTACATCCCAAATTATGATTGTAAGAGATGGGTAACTGGGTAAGTCGCTAAAATAAGTTATTAATATTATATATATATATATATATATATATATATATATATATATTAAATATAGTTATATGCTTAGCGGGGCGGGGCCCCTGGGATATGTATATTAAACCCTTACCTATCCTGTGACCCGCAATGGGTACAAAATTTGTATCCATGCCCGCCCCAACGGTATAAAAAGCGTTCCCATATCCATTATTAAAGGAGCGGGGCGGGGCGGTAAAAATTGATGTCCCTAATTACATCTGTTGAGAGAAACTTTTCAAGTTTGAAGTTAATCAAATCTTACCTATAATTAATGATGTCATGAGAGAGATTGAATGGATTGACTATGATATCCATTGAAAAAGATATATTGGACAAACTTGAATAGAGTACTTTAATTGATAATTTTGTAGTTCAAAATGTAAGATGATTACATTTAACTTTGATATAAAATTGAATTTTGATTTTTATGACTAAGTTGTGTTGAATATATTTTAAAAAAAAATTATTTAAATTTGATCGTACTTTTCATAAAGTACTAAGATCGGGTATTATTTTGTGCGTTTTCAATATTAATATATTTTGTTATTTATCGTCTCATTTTAATAAAAATTATGCATTCTTTTAAATTTTATACGCGTGTAAAACTTTATAAAGAATATCGGATTTGAAAGTTGGACGAGGAGCTCTCAAAATTTTAAAAATATCAGACGGCCCTGATGCCATGTATATATATTGCTTGATCAAGCCATCAATTTTCCTGATGCCATATATACTGCTTCATCAAGCCATCAATTTTTTATTTTTTTTATTCCTTGGCTAAGATCTTCTACAGTACTCTTTAGTACTATTATTCCTTCAGGGATGAAATACTACCCCACTAAGGCACACGCTTCATGAAAGTTCAATATTTACAGATGAAAGAACTTTCAATTCACAAATTTAATAGTAATAATAATAATATAAAAAGTGAATTATAACAAAAATGACACCCTCTTTAAAAATTACAAAAATATTGAAGAATAAAAATTAATCACTGAAATAAGATAATTACTAAAAACTGCTCAATTCGGATTTGTTTCAACCTTCAATAAATATGATTCATTAGTTTGAGCTCGACTCGTTTGCTTAATGGAGTCCAAGTTGAGACTTAGGAGCCAAGCGTGAACTGCTTATAAACAGTTCAATTCATTTGTAGCGCTATCAATCTTCCAATATATAGAATCGAAAATTTTAATTTTAGGACTTTAAATGATTGGAATTAGCAAAAATACAACCTCAATCATGGGCTAGCAAGGCATGAAGTGAGTGAACATTGATAGTTGGATTGATCCTAATTAAATATTAATCTTTGTAAGTTAAAATGATCGTTAAAATTATACCAAGAAAATGTGTTTTTAAAAACTCATTTCACAAAACTCATACTTGCACCGATCACTCAGACAAAATATTTGATTGGTCAATGCATATCAAATATAAAAAATGAGGCCCTCCACTTCCTTATTTAATGTATTAATAACCAATAATATATAATAGACTTAACAATTATGCAAGTGATCCATGCAAGTAAAATAATAAGTATTTCAAACATCGTAAGAAATTGTCATTCACCTTTTGGGTAAATTATTAAAAAACACACTTTTTCATTTCCATAACATTAGTTCCAGGTAATTTGATGGATTCGTGTTGGATGTGACAAATCAATTTCAAAAAGTTGTGTCCAAATGTTAAACCATACTTCTAAAAAGAGTGATCATGTGTTAATCTTACCTTCTACTTGAACATTTGTCCATTACCCATCCTTTTCATTTATCTTTATTTTCTCCGTACAAAGCATCCGAATAAAAGAAAACCGGTAGGTTCATCCTCACTCGTGTTATCCATTCATCAATTTCTTATTCCCA